TTTTATTCCATAAACTTATATTCAAGTTTTATCGTAACCACTTAAGAAGTTGAGCAGTGTAATGTATTTTGGTCCAATTAGAGTCATGAATTCAGGAAATAGTTTAAAACTGAAATTATAATAGAGCTCACCCAGCCTCATAATTAGTTGTTGTCAGTAGAACAATACTTTAGTGGAACCAAGCCACTTGGTGTCCTCAACATTTAGATCTAGGAGACCAAAAGAAACTAGAATTAGGAAAGGAGATCAAAAAAATTAGAATAGTTAATGTTAATGCTAGATTTTTGGTGTTTAAATTTTTTTATTTCTTTATTTTCATGTTAGTTTTTATAAAAAATGCATAAATATATTACTAAATAAAGATTTTTTTTAATAACTAAGTAATTATTATTTTTATATATGTGTTCATTATTATAGCAAAATGCTAGACAATCATAGGTCAGGGCCCATGGCAATGCCTAATTTGAGAACTTATCCAAGGTCTAAGTCACATTTTATAAATATACCCATTTTCTCTACAAGTGCTTCTAATATTGAACTAAATAATTTGTTACGTGTTTAAGATATGGTGGTGCACAAAAATTTAATCCAATGATGCTAGGATCACCATGTGACCTGGAGCCTAAGTGGCTACCCTCAAGACATAAATAGTATTATTGATTATTTTCTAGTAAAACAAATATCATCATCATAAAAACCCAAAGATAGCTATAGACATGGGATTCCTTTTTCCCCCCATGATGTAATCAAAGCCACCAACAATTGACAAGCTCTCCCTTCTTCCCTTCAGTGTACTCAAGGCCTCTAGTGAGTAGTCAGCTCATCCCTTCTTCCCTTAGACGGTGGTGATAGTGTTGTCAACTCTATTTCTGGCAGATCTCTCTAGTGAGTAGTGTAGCACCACAACAGGATACTTATGTGACTTCCAAAATGGTTTGTCTTGTTCGAAAAATTCAAAGCTGGCACATTAGTATCTCTAACCACTCAGAAGGTGACCCATCAAATAGGCAGCATTTAATTTCCTTTTTCCAATAGTTTATTTTTATTTTAGATGTGAACCATAAATTTTTCTAAAAGCAACTTGAAGAATTAATACGAAAATGTACAAATGAGCTTCTTTTCTCTCCTAAATTTTCTGTAACTCTTATGAGATCACTGTAAAACATTTCCAAGCTGTTTTCCATTAATTTTAACTATCAATTTTAGAAAAATAGAGTTGCTAATGTTCCACAAACTTAGTCAAAATGACTAAGACATTTCTTTTGAATTTAACATATGATGATAGGATTAAGAGCTGATTATTCAGCACTTAATCTTTCAAAATTATTATAAAAGAGGTTAAAAGAGATTCACACATGATCCCACATCTTTTGTGTGAACTTTTGGAACACATTTTTATCTAATAAATGTGGCCAAAGTGAGTTAGAAGTGAAACTAAATCACCTTAAAATGGGCTGGCTGACATTTGTCTCCTCATTATTCTTCCAAATTATATTTCTTTCCTCTCTCATATCCTTCTCAAATTTCCTCTAAGGCCAGCTTTATTCCTCATCTCTATCTCTCATTCTTTTTCCTCTATTCTTCTCTTAACCATCTTTCCTATCATCTTGCCAAACTCTCTTAATATTTTGATAATTATTATTTCATTAAATTAGTACTAAAACTCTAAAAATACTTTAAACTAAAATTAAAAATAATTCTCACAACAGATTATTCCATCTTCATGTATTCGACCTAGAACTCAAATTATATTAAAAATTAATTAAATTTTCAAGTAAGAAATTCATTAGAAAGTGGATATTAAATCTGAACGAAAATAGTCATCAGTTAATCTAAATTCAAAAGAAGATAAGATCAATTCAATCCCTCAATTTTTAATCTAAATACAACCTTAAGTCCAACAAGTTGATCACATTAAATAGAATAAGGAAAACAAGATAAGCATCCATAATCAATCAACTACAATGTTTCGCTACCTTAAACTTGATCTTGTGAAAAAAGAAAATATTTAGCCTTTTTCATTGTTATGAGGACAACCATTTTTCTTTAGCAAAGAATCAAGATGAGAGGACAAGACAACAAGGATGATTCACAACACTAGCTAAGAAGAAGGACGCAAGCTCATCACATCAATGAATGAACACCATTGAAAAGCACTATCTTCCCCCTCATCTAGAGCTCAAGCGTTCATCCTCATGTCACATCCTCTAATCAAGCTTGTGAAGGAGAGCTCAACAACTCATCCTCACACCATCCCCTCTTGATCTCAACCTCAAGTCATCAAAAACCTCAATCTCTCTAGGAGTTTTAGTGACTGATCGCAAGAAAAAGGGTCAACGAGAAGAAATAGGATGAACAAAAAGTGATCCTTGAAGCTGATCCATATCATCCCAGCATAGAAATAACCTATGTCCATCACTTCATCACACAAAGAAAAAGAGATGCATACTACATCAAATCGACAACACATCATTCAAATCAATTCTACACCAATTGATGATGTGTCATCTTGTTGATCAGCATTGGGTGATTGATCTCCAACTTACTTGTATTAAATTTGAGAAATAAGGTTTCCTTATATCGTTGAATCTAATAAGAGAGAAGTAGAGAAACTTCTCTAGTTTTGGTCACCTAGAGCCATGAAATCTAGAACATTTTGAAGAAATCCCATATGAACTAGAACTACTAAATAAAAGGTTTTTGAATCTAAATTCAGCATGTAAAATATTACGAAAATAGTGGAACCCAAGGACAAGTCCTCATAGATTGGATTTAGCTCAACGACTGAACCACATAAAATTTGAGTTTTGATCTTATTGATGATTGTTACTTTGAGAAGAATACTCTAGAGTATAATATTTAAGGGAAATAAAACACTATCAATTAAACCCCCTCTCCTGCCTTCTTGATATCGTGTACACCTCTATGACCTGAATATTTAATAATCTGCACCCACAATCTTTATAAGGGCTCATACACTTTGTATATAAATGTATATATGTCTCTATATATTCACCTTCTAAAAATTTACACATTTTCATGTAGTTAACGTTGAATTCATAAAATGCACATCTCTACATTTGGACACATTTATTGCCTTTTAAAATTGTTATCTTGTATCTTGGTATGCACATATTGATAAAAGATAAACTCAAATTTCAGTTATTTAATTTTTTCTACATATCGATGTAACTTGCATACACATTTTTAACTAATAACTACATTTACACAATGTTGTATGTCCAATACTTTGAAGATCACCATTGCAAGTACATATGGTCTATTCTCGTCTAGTTGGATAAACTTTCTGTAATGATTTCTTTAGAAGCTAAATATTTGATCATGATATTGAAAGTATATTATGTGAGACAATTTGCGATTTTACCATGTTGTGGCTGGAAGTGTATTGGAAATTATATGCTGTTTTTTGTGTGAAAGTTAAATTACACTTGTGAGTTAAATGTTATGTTTAAAAGAATATACTTTAACACAAATGATTGAGATTTACTTAGGATTATGAAGTGAACATGTAACAAACTTATTGAAGATGAGAAGTCACCTCCCAATTTACAATCAGAAGGGTCTTATAAAGGGTACATATGACAAAGTCCCCATTAAACTAGGATGAATGAACAACAAATTCGGATACTGCTATAGTGAACTTTTGATAGTTCCATAAGCTAACACATGGCATAAATCAGGAATACAAAATGATTTGGAAGAAGGAAGAAGTAAGCTTTTAGATTATCTAAATTCAAAGCAGATGGTTTGGCAGCAACAGTGAGACGAAACAATTCACAAACAAGAGGCTAGAGGAAAGGGGTAGAAGCAGAATCATGTTGCAGAGAGAGGGATAGTTAGATCGTGTTGTGGGCAATAGGAAGACGAAATGAAGTATGGAGAGCGGTAAAGATGAGACTTCATGGTACAAATTCAACTCGATTACCTAGGTTGACCCTATTTCATCGTATCATTGAAATATCGTTTGAGGGAAATATTAGAGCAAACGAATAAGAAATCCAATTTGCTCTCTTGTTTCGCAGCTAAAAGAGTACCTAACCAGTAATATTTCGCAATAATGTTTTCGTATATATCGTTTTCTTTCTTCCTACTTATTTTAGGCTTTGAAGTTCGAATAAATTTGGAAAGTAAAATAATCCTAAGACCCTCCCCTTATTTCCCAAGGAAGTAAATCATCTGTCTTTGTCCGGTTGATAAGCCCATTGATTGTAGCGTCCTCACAAGATCACCAAACACGGAAGCTTGTCTGCTCTTCTTTCCCCTTCCCCAAGTCCACCATATCTCGAGAAAATTACTGGTTATGTAGGCCATCGGAGATCGGTCTGATGGTTGACCGAACATGAAGGGCATTAGATAGGCAAATTATCGATACGGATGCCAGGCGTTTCACATAGTCGCTTTCAGACGAGTTTTCTGCGTGGGGGCGACAAAGAAAATGATGGTCGTGGAGCGTAGTTGCTGAATGTGCACTGGAGCAAATAAGAATAAGGAAGGTGAAATCCATCACCTTAAGAATTTATAGGGGTGTGAGCATCCGCTTGAGGTGCGAGAGTGGGAACAGTGAGCGTCTTCTTGTCCTCGCTTTATTGACTTTCCTATCTGTCATCGTTTGGCTTCCCGCTACGGGCCCCCACCGAGGGAGAGAGCAACGGTCTTCTTCCCCAACTCCCCTCCTCCTGCCCCGGCATGCAATTACTATTGAACTCCGATGGCGAATGGCGAGAGCCTCGGCGTCAGCTTGCGGCCATTAGCAGCTGCCGTGGAAGGCACAATCGGCCTCCTTGGATGTCTCCTCTTCCTTTCAATCTAAACCAATCAAAGCGAGCCCCACCTGTCTCCAGACTATTCCTTCCCTTCGAGAGTATTCCTCGTCCCCCCTCCATTGATCCCGCGTACCCTCCAAGAGCTCCCTTTTCTTCTTCCTCTTCTCCCTCTTCTCCCTCTGTGACCCTTGAGAGCTGAGTAGGATAATTCGCAGGATGGAGAGCTCTGGGCTGATGTCCTCGTTGAGGAACCGGGTGCTGGGGGGCTTCGTGGAGGCGGATTTCCAGTCGTCGGCGCCGCCGCCGTCTGAGGGCCAGATCAGCGCCGTCCGAGGCCGGGGAGCGGCGCCCGAGAGGGCGACGTTCGAGGACGACGATCGATGGGTGACCATCCTTGTGTCTGTCTTGAAAATCGTCGCCTGTTTTGTGACGATGATGGCGACGACGTTCCTGTGGGCGCTGATCATGTTCATGCTCCTCCCATGGCCCTACGCCCGCGTCCGCCAGGGTAACCTCTATGGTCACGTCACCGGGAGGCTCATGGTGAGCTCTCTCTCTCTCTCTCTCTCTCTCTCTCTCTCTCTCTCTCTCTCTCTCTCTCTCTCTCTCTCTCTCTCTCTCTCTCTCTCTCTCTCTCTGTCCCCCACCCTTTCCATCCACTGTCGGACATGGTTTTTTCAAGACCCTTTACGTTGTAAACCATTTAGCGAGAAAAAGAGCGATCTTTTCACGGAAAGATTGTCTAATTCATTTCTTATCTTAGAAACCTCGATATGATCAATCTCCGCATATTATTCAGTTCATCTCTCTGCGTTTGTCTGCTTCCACACATCTCGTTAATTCATCAAGTAGCACAACGCCTGATCCGAAGATCAAGTCACCGCTTCCTCTTTCTGTAACCCATAAGAATTTATCAACGTAATAGGAACCAAATACTTCGATGATTTCTGGATTTTCCGTCAACGAAATAATATAAAAAAACGATAAACAAATCCCTCTCGTCCTAGAAAAAGATCTTGGCCCGATTTTTCTATTTCAACCAGATATCGTGAGGGTCAGAATGGGATCCTAGCGATCAGCGGGCGCAGGTTTTCAGTGCCTAATCTCCTCTTCATCTTATCTTCGCTTCTTCCTTCGCTTTTTTTTTTTTTTTTCCTTTTGTGGGTGTTCAATGTCTCTGCAATGAATTCGATGCCATGCTTCAGTCATCAAAATGCTCAATTATGGCAACTCATATGATGCCCATGCATCCTATTCTACCTCTACATTTTTTTTCTAAAAGTTTGGATGCATTTCTTCCGGGATTCATCGATGAACCCTCAGAATATATACGATGTAGATCCCGCGGCTTGTGAATCATCAACCATTTTTCCTGGAAGGCCGGAGTTAAAGATTCCGTTGACTATCTGTGGGCGGGTTGACCAGCTAGATAAGCCTTATTCACCCTTTTATATCCCTGTTTTCTGCTTTAATTTGTCAAACCCATCTCCGATTTTTACGCCATAAAAAAATCAGTTTTTTCAGGCTCACAGATCTCAGATTTTTACTATTTTATTTATTTACTTATTTATTGATGGGGGACCGTTCTTAGAATCCACCACCACCACCACCATCCCCTCTTATACTCCTATTTTCTGCTTAAATTTATCGAATCCATTTACAAATGTTACACTATTAAAAAGAAATCACTTTTTCAGGCTACATCACACATTTTTATTATTTTCTTATTTTTCTTATTTTCTTACTTTCTTATTTTCTTATTGATTCATTGATGTGGGGATCATATTCTTAGAGTCTGTATCCGTTCTGTAGATGACGATATTGGGGAACCCCATAACAATAAAAGGCTCAGAATTCGCCAGCACGAGGGCCATTTACATCTGCAACCACACGTCGCCGCTGGACATCTTCCTGATCATGTGGCAGACCCCCATCGGCACCGTCGGCATCGCCAAGAAGGAGGTCAACGCCCTCTTCTTCTTCTTCGAAAAAATTGAATCAATGAACGAATCGGGCGAACGTGTTTGTTGGGTGCAGATCATCTGGTACCCTCTCTTCGGGCAGCTCTATGTGCTGGCGAACCATCTCCGCATTGACCGCTCTAACTCCACCGCTGCCGTCGAGTCGGTCAGAGAGGTAATTTATTGCCAGTAATCACGACCAATAATACTCGATCGATAATCTTTCTAACCCTTCTCCGGTGGCGGCGCCGCCACCGGCGCCGGCGAAGCCCAGGCGGCGCGCGCCGTGGTCAAGAACAACCTATCCCTGATCATCTTTCCCGAGGGCACTCGATCCCAGTCCGGCAGGCTCCTCCCCTTCAAGAAGGTACCGGGTTCTCTCTCTCTCTCTCTCTCTCTCTCTCTCTCTCTCTCTCTCTCTCTCTCTCTCGCTCGCTCTCGCTCGTTATCTATCCATCTGTCTATCGAGCTGGTGGGGGTTGACTTTCCATTTTCTGGTGGCGACGATGCGCAGGGATTTGTACACTTAGCACTGCAGACGGGGCTGCCGATAGTGCCGATGGTGGTGACGGGGGCGCACAAGGCATGGAGGAAGAACAGCCTGCGGGTGAGGCCGGCACCGTTGACCGTGGAGTTCCTCTCCCCAATCAAGACCGACGGGTGGGACCCAACCAGGATCAACGATTACGTAGAGATGGTCCACGCTCTGTACTCCCGCCACCTCCCCTCCTCCCAGAGGCCCCGCTCCGCTGAAGATAGATAGTAGCCTTCGGGAGCCAGCCCGTTTACCATCTTCAAATGTGGGACCCAACCAAAACCCTCTTCCCCTCTCAGGGCGAGGGGGAGGGGATAAATTGTGTGGAGGCCTTATCTGCTGAAGATAAGATAGTAACCCGTTGACCGCAGGAAGATCACATGTGGGACCCATCAAAAACCCAACCGGGATAATTCTGCAAAGCATAACATCGTCCAGCATTCCAGCTTTGTCACAGTGGAAAAACCCAGAGGAACCCCCATCAGGCAGGCAAAACCAGCCATTCTTTCTCATTACAGAGGGAAATCCAAGGTGGGGGGCGCCGAGAAGATCCAGCGTCTTCCCCAAGAAAGATGCCGACTCACTGCAATTAGAAACCCCAAAGTCAACGACAAAGTTAAAAAAATAAATAATGGTAGTAGTAGTAGTAATAATATAATAATGATAAAATGAGGAGAGGGATTTCTGGGGAGAAGAGAGAACAAAGCAGAACAAGAACATGGAGAAGGAGGGGAGAGAGAGAGAGAGAGAGAGAGAGAAGGGTGGGAATTTTTGGATGACCTGCTGCTGCTGCTGTTGTGGGTAGCCTGGATATCCCTGATATGAGGCATAAGCATACGCATTGGGGTCTTGAGGAGGAGGGTAGCCGCCGTAAGCTGCAGCCGCATCGTAGACTTGCCCACCATAGCCGTAGTACCCGCCTCCCCACTGACTCAGGTCCGTTTGGGGCTGAAGAAGAAGAAGAAGAAAAGTAGGCAGAATTTCAGCGTTCTTCAAAGGATCTGTGAGAGAGAGAGATGGAGAGTGAGAGAGAAAGAGAATGAAGGGGGCGGTAGAACTTCGCACAAGGAACATATGTTATCTGACTCACCGGCTTGCTGGAAGGGCTGCGGCCCCACGAGAGCCGGATGCTCTGGCCACCCAACTGGGCCCCATTCAGCATGAGCAGAGCTTCCTCGGCGCAGGCTCTGAGAAGAGGCGATTTCAGTGAAGAGGCATTAGTTTGAGCATAGATTGTGTCTAATAATAACCACCCGCACAACTAATCACTACGATTCGTTGACCCAGTGAGGGAGGAGAGTCAACCTGCTCGCGAATTGGACAAACCCACAGCGCTTGCCAACGGGTATCTTCACACCGACCAATTCTCCATACTGACCGAAGACTTGCTTCAGGAGTTCATCGGTGACAGATGCATCCAACCCACCCACGAAGATCTACACTCAACAATATGGTACCCATCAATACCTCACTAAAATAACAAAAAAAAATTAAATTAATGTTAGAGATTAAATACCCACAGTGGTATTGCTCGGATCGATATCCGTTTGTGTGGGTTGGGTGCCTGGGTAAGAAGCTGCAGATAACACGGAAGATGAGATGATTTCTTATCATTGAACTGCACGATATTTCATATGATTAAAAACACCGAGGCTCAATGCGAGGCAAAGACTAACTCAATTCAAAGAGAATAAATAAATATATACTTCAATCAGAGTGTATGTGTTAAACAGATAACAGATGACAGACCTTGATGCGTTTCCATGTGAAAGAGTTCATGTTCTTCAGTGAAGATATTCCTATCACTATTTTGATAATGTTTCATTCTGAAGGATCTGGGTTGAACACCCAGACTAGAAATCACAGCCACCTAGACAAGATATTGCCTGAGTTCTTTTGCAATGGAGTTTCTTCCAAAAACGTGAGCTTTCATTTTTCAGCACAGGCAGTCGTTAATTAATCCATCTCAAGCATCAAATATTCAGATATAATGCTGAAAAACGATGAGATGACGGATTAAAAGAAGAAAAAAAGAGGTAGAGTGTAGATTCATTGAGCAAGATAAGCATCAATTAAGCAACCAATGTCTGAAGTTTAAGCTATTTTTTGTACTAAATAACATCAGTTTCTATATTCTGTCGACGGAGAATATTCTCGGGGTGACATTGGCTTGAACTCTACAGTTTTTACCATGATCGGGTTCTCTTATCACTGTTCGAAGACCCAGTGACAAAGGACTCATACCAGCCACTCCATACAAAAACCCAGTCCATGTAGCCATTGCCCAGCCCAAGCACAGGAATACAAACGAGGGATCAAACAATGACCCTCCCCCCTTTCAACAAGGAAAAAAAGAGACCGTGGACGGCATTTAAAAAACAAGTAAAATACTGCAAGATGGGCTCTAATCGACTAAATAATACGGAAATGATGGCTGAAATACGAACAAGAACAGAGAGGATACTAAGATAATGTTTGAAAACACGAAAAGATAACATTAAACGCTTTAAATCCACTAAACGGGAAAATCAGACAGAAGGTAATGACCCTTTTCAGAGTTATTTGCACGTTGAAGGTGCTATTAGCCTTCGTTGTTTGTCTTGTATCATGCCTTTCCAGACGGCAATGAAGAGTATAGAAACGGTAATTAAGATTTTTTCTTGTCCTTCTGAATTCAGGTGACGGACTCATTGATATTAACATGAAAACTAGCACACCACTTCAATCCACTAAAAGTCCATTGAAAATTTTGGATATGCATGTCTTGGAGTAGCCCACTTTGGTCAATAAATAGATATACAAGAGATGTGTTTAATAGCTTGGAGCACCCATCAAATCAATTCATTCACTTTTCACATTTTCCTCGGGCCAAGATACCGGGACAAAGAGACTCCAAAGAAAGAAACGGTTCACTACACAGAAGCCAGGTGACACAACCAAAAACATGACTCGACTTAATGACAAATAACTTCATGTGCTACCTTACTCAAAATGGGTAACACTTGTGACAGATAAGAGAAACAAATGGGCACAAAGCTACAGAAATGTAACGCAATCACAAGAAATCCACATAAAACGAAATCAAGAGAAAACAGGCAAGTATTTCAATATTCCTCATCGTGTCCCTATGCACTAATGTATGGGTGAGGTTAAAGATTTCCTACTGCAAGTGTCACGTTCATGGAAATACTCGTACACTTGACATCTTCCATTCAAATAAACGCGATCCTGAAGGGCAGGGTGGAAATCTCTTATTTTGATTTCCTTGTTTCCGAAAATCGAGTTTGACTGACAATAATATTTGGGGTAAATGCCACCAAGGATTTACCAACTTGGTAACACTACCACTAATAATAGGCTTGAGAAATCCAATTTTCTATTCGCACCATTTGACTACACGGAGCAGAGAAGTCCACCGTTCAAGACATTCAGGTTGCAGTACTATAAAAAGCTTTCTAGTAAGAGAAAGAAAAAAAAAAAAACAAGAACAAGTTAACTAGTTGAAGAGAAAAAACGTACTTGAAGCTGGGGACAAACTTTCTTTGAAAGAACGATACAGTCCCAACGGAAACAAGTATATGACACAACACGCATGACTGTCTTAGTACTCCAATGGCCATCCTCTATCCAAAGATCAAACAGACATGTTCTGAATTCGAGTGCGATGGATGAGTTTAAGCTTGAAGCAAGGATGAACGAAACAAGTGTACACCACACACAAATTTTAAAATCTAATAATTGTCACAAGAAAAAAAGATGACGTTCCAAGGTTCACTGATAAGATCACCGACAGCAGCCGCTTAAAGAGCTGTGTTATCATCAGGCACCTTTTTTTCTAGGATAGATTTACATTCACTATTAATGAAACAACGAGAAAAGTAGGAGAGTATTGCCCATCAACCATAAAATGAAAAGGAGCGTACATTTATCTAGAACACTGATTGTTCCAGCTTTCCCCAACAAAACTAGAGGGGATGCATAAAACAATCAAGGAAATAGCTCAACGACGAACACTTAAAATAGAAGGAACTGGGAAGAGTAAAAGTATCCCTTAAAATGCTATCAAAAAGTGCTTGAGAAATTGAGAACGTCTTCTAAACGTAAGGAACTGGAACGTAATTAGTTAATGTAGCATAAAGAATGCCACTGATACGTCAAATTAAGGCAGAATCTTGGCATAAAATCAGGAACACTGACCTAAATGAGGCCACGTACTAAAGAACATATGCATCACAGCTGAAGTCATTTCCAGGCCCCTATATGAAGTGAGCCTCTTGGCATCCTGCTTCGAGACAATGAGTTTTTATGAGTTTTTGTAATCTAAGATTATATTAAATACGCCCAATTTCACAAAGGAAAGTGCTTTGAAGGAAATGGCCGGTACATCAATCGAGGCAGCACACTGCTGCATATCTTGCATAACTGGAAGGAAATCTAACAAAGTATCTGGTCTATTCCATCTCTAGAAATATCATACCAAGTATTCAGATTGATTAGTTTAACGAAAAAGAGAAACAAGTCAAAATAAAGAAGTCATCTTTTCCCAGAGAAACAGCATCAACAGACTTATAATATACAACTTTCGAGTAAGAAAACTAAGGGCGATAAAAAAAGCATGCAAATAATGAAAAGCAGGATTATGATCATCTACCTTTCGGTTGAGCAGTTACTGTCTTCTTAGTGGTTGCAGGACCAATTCTCATAGGCCTTGTGGAACAAAACATACCATTCATTTCAGTCATTGCACGAGTCTGCTCATTCGCATCTCCAAACCTTACAAATCCATAGCCCTTGGACCTTCCAGTAATTCTGTCCATAACAACTTTAGCACCCTTCACAGAAGGGTAATGGCTCCTGAATGTCTCTTGTAGCATATAGTCTGTAACGTCAGCAGCCAAGTCTCCAACAAATATTGTGAAATCACTACTTTCATCTGATCGTTTCTCGCCTGCGCCATATGAAGCCCAGTTTAGCCTAAATGTTTGTTCAGCATTTGGCATCAGCTGCCCGTTGAAGGCCTGCAGAGCTCTTTCTGCCGCAGCTTGGCTAACGAATTCAATGAAACCATAACCTTCCGAAAGTCCAGTCTGCTTATTGCGAATAACCTTGACTGAAACCACCTGAAATAATGATAATAAACAAGGGGAAAAGTAAGGATTTGCATTTTTTTTATTTTTTAAGAGTCCTTAAAAAAAACTAAAAAGGATTCATACAGCCAAGAAGCTCAGTGATTAGTCTAATTCAAATGCTTTTTTTCTAACTTCAGCCTCGCTCCCATAAGAAGACGGTGGTTCTGGAGGAACAACTCTTCCAAAACAGCTGTAAATCTATAATATCATACTGAGGAAAATTCCATTTAGCCTCGCAAAAAAAAAAATACAACGTAGCCTTGCAAAACTTGATAAAAGAGAGTAAGTAGGCATATAGTGCTTGACAAAAATATATAGTAAATTGTCAAAAAGATATGACAAGATGCTCATCATGGGGATTCATCTCCCATAATCATCCACAAAAGGCCTTCTCCATTTATAAAACGAGAATGAGCAATGTTTGAACGAGTTAAAAAATTCCTCTAGAGGAGTTTTCAAAGAAGGAACAGAGTTACTATCACTAAAATTTAAAAGCTGATGCTATACAATTGATTTTCATTACGGAAAGGCATACCCAGTTCTCAAGCATATGTGTCGAATTATGGGACACTTCCATCTTCTTTCCTTCAAAACTAAGATAAACTGTGAGATTTTCTGGCACATGTTTAGGTTTACAAATTTTCAATTGCACCCAATCAGTTTATTCAATCACTTGTTACATTCACGAATCCAACGACTAAGGCATAAATGCAACCCGTCTGAATTCAATTTTCACATTTCTGAGGATAATCCCATTCAGGCTCGTAGTACGAGTGATAACACGCACTCTGTGAAGGGATAGAAACAAGATGGCTTAAGCATCAGTATAATGCTACACTTTATGATTATTAAACAGAGGATTCACATAAAGTGGAACTAAGGGGGCATATATTGAAAGAATGACTCTGAGAATGGAAAGGAAGTTAAGATCATAAGTTCAGAAAGTTTCTCATTGACGATTTATCGTGTGCAACATTGTAAACAAGAGAGATCACACATAAATGTCAACATTACGAGAACAGTACTTACAGATTAAGGATTCAACCTATTTATCTATGTTCAGTCAAGCTGCACCCGGTTTAAATTTTCAAATTTTGCAATTTAACTACAGCCCCATTCTTCCAAATTTGAATTATTTCGCTAGTAATTGGCCATTTTTACCACTCAGATACATGTTTAACAGCATCTCCAGCGGCCTTCAATAAGATGTACACCGAGCAAGTAAAAAAGGCTCACCAGCAAGGTGAAAAGATTACCAAAAGGATTAAAACGCACTTCAAAAGGACTTTTCAAATGGAAATGGTATTTTTAGCAGTACTGAAGATCTCTTTCTGAAAAAATTTCTAATGCAACTAGTTTATAAGGGTGAAAAATCAAGCTTATGAATCCGTATCTCATCTACGACAGGAACCAACCAGCTCCTTTCAGACACAAATCCTTCATACTGGCAGTCCAGCATCTGGTGCATTCACCCAACAATATCAAAGCATGTCAAATTGAAAGGCGAAAATTTTAATCAGGGAGATGGCTCAAACGAGGCACCATGTGCGGCAGACCAGTATTACAACATGGAAATGAAGACAAATAATTACATGTGAAGATGTTTGCCAAGGGCTCACTGTCAAAGGTTTGATCTGGATATGATGACGATACGACGATGATTCATGCCTTAACTACTGATTTCATATGCTGAATTTACATAATTTTCCCTCTGTGGGGAACGAGACTATGTGAAGAAACAGAGAAAGCGTGAATCATACAAAACGGACTAAGAGAAATGCATCCTTCGTCGTAATGAAGTCGACGTTGAAATGCGTCTCGTTGTGAAAGACACCAAACTGATCGGAAAATAAGAATTTAGTTTACCTCCCCGGTGCTCGCAAAGCAACTGTGAATATACGTCTCCTCCATCCAGTACTGCAAATCACCGATCCAGAGAGAGCGAATCTCATCTGCAGACCCCGGCTGCGGCGCAACGGTGGGCACCGGTGCAGGCGTCTGGTACTGCACAGGTAGAGGTTGCGCCTGGGGGGGAACCTGGAGCAGCATCGGCTGAGGCGGAGGCACCGGCTGCGGCGGCGGGATCTGAGACGGCTGCTGGTTCCACATGGGAGGAGGCATCTGGGGCTGGTGGTACTGCGGAGGCTGCGGGGGCATCATCGCCCACTGCTGGTGCTGCGGCTGCATTGGCGGGGGCTGCTGTGGCTGCATCGGCGGGAGTTGCTGCAGCTGCATAGGCGGGAGCTGCTGCGGCTGCATAGGCGGGGGTTGCTGGTCCATCTGGGGAGCGGCCATCGAAGGCGGAACTATGCCCTGGCTGGGATGCATCATCTTCAACCTAACTAGCAACAGAAAAAGAAAAACCTCTGGCCTACGCTGAAGCTACCAAAACGGGAGCAACCGAGAAAAACCCAGAAAGAAAAACCCTAACTTGAGCCGATCGACTGGAGGGGAAGAGCTCCGCTGAGAAGGTTAGCAGATAAGGAGGGCAGATTCAGAGTAAACCCTAACCCCTGAAAAAAAACAGACAACTAGAAAGACGAACAGGTTTGATACTGCTAACTCTCAGCATTAAATATCATCGAAATGACAGCTATACCCTTTGCCCAAGTATCGGGGCCCACAAGCTTCTCCCTAGCCTACACGTTTATGTGGGCCCGGTTCTGGGCAAGGCCTAGAAGCAGACATACGGGCCCATACTGCGTTCCTAATGCCTAGATCGGCCCATGAATAACATGATGGGCCCACTTGTAATCTCACTGGTCTTTGCAGAAAATAAAAGGAGACTTTCATCAAGGTTGCATGGCATGGGAAGTATCCAAGCATAATATCTATCATTTATTCAAATAAATTTATATTATATAGCTAAATAAAGGAATAATTAGGCATTGTAAATATTCTCTTAATTGATGAATAAAGTAATTTTTGAGAAAATGAATAATTTACCCTTTATCTTAGAAATGGAACCCTAAAAAGCTTGCCCTCTCTCATCCTAATTCTTTTTCCTCTCTCTATCTCTCTCCTATGTATCCACTTGAGTGATGCCATGCTTCTCTATTCATTGGACCTTTTCATTTTTTTATCTGAGGCACAAGACAAATAATCAAAATTGAGGGTTTATTGGAATTTATTTCTTGAGAAATGAAAATCATGAAACTACTTGCTTGAGTTATTTGTGTTGAAAATATTAGGGCCATTGCATAAGAATGTGTCTAGCATGCAGCACACAAATATTGAATTAGATTTTAGATGGGTTTCATCTGATGATTGTGAAAATAATTTTGAAGGGCCATGTGGTGCCTTTGCTATGTTTTCTTTTAATGCCAAATAAAGAAGCATTAAGATGGAGATGAATTTTTTTGCATAGATAGGGGAAAATATAAATAACTACAAAAGTGGCATGAATTTCAACAATATAAAAATACTTGAAAAAGTAAGTAAGACACAATCCCATACAATAAGAATTTAAAGTGGTATTTATTAAAAAATTCTAGCATCAGATTACCACAAAAAGTAAAAAATATCAGATTATATTTAGCATAATCATGTATCTATACTAGTTGATGGAGTCACAACATGGATTAGAACATTACATGGCCCCCATACATGGATATTGATAAAAAGAAAAAAAAGCGGTAATAAAATGGTGTTTATCAATGGAATTTTGCATCATATTATTTCCACATCATTAATAAAAAAAGATTGAATTCTAATTTGTCAATTAAAAAAAGATATTAGATGATAAATACCATTTTGAGGGTTCTTACAATAGAATTTAGAAAAGACAGAATGAGAGTACGAATGTGAATCAACATATAAACAAATACGACAATTATTGACAAAATATTTATAATTAAACCCGGAAATTTTCTTCTGACTTAACTTTAGATGTTCATCCCAATTTTAAAATTTTCTTTAAATGTCATAACACACAAATCTAGCTTTTGAATAGGAAATTGGCAAATGAATGGATTAGATGGTGCATGCCACTATAGAGTGTGAATTGATTGCTAGACTGTGTCGACGAAAATCATTTCTCATAGTGACATTATATTGGATGAAAACCTTGTTGGGTTAATATTCATGTCAAGTATACACAATTGACTATAATTTATTGTGTTTATTATTTTTTAATTTGTTGAACACAAACATTGCATAATACATCTCTAAAAAATTCTTACAAATATTCCAATTTCTTTTAGACCTTTAAGAGCATTTTCTAAGTATGAACTTACATTGCAAGTACTTTCTATTTATGAAAAAAATCTTTAAAGTTTATTTTATTGAAGTACTTAGTCAATCCAAAAATATTGATAAAAGTATTATTGATTATATTTACTATTGATTTCATGTATGACCTTCATTTTAAAATGCAACACACAACACACAACACACAACACAACACCATATTTTGATGATAAATGATACACACAACACACGACATGACTAATGTCATCTTGCCATTTTCTTAAAAGAAAATGGGTGCATTTTGATGTCAAACATATTGGTCAATATGTACACAATTTTAAACATGCTTCTTAAAATGTATGGATACTAGCTGATTAGCAAGATTATTATTTTGCCTCTTAAAACTTATAACGTTGTGTTTTTAGACGAAATCACCATTCTATTTTTAAAAATATTAACCTAAAATAATAAATTATAAGATATGTGCTCTTTAATGTCTATATTTAAATAAAATTTCCATGATTTCTCTATATTTATTAAAAAAATTGGTATTTATAGATGGTTAATATATCACGTTAGAGAAAGTTTATCATCAGAATTTCCATAATTTGTAACACTATCACTGATAGTCAACACTTTACATCTATCTATTAAAAAACTATATTTCTTATTACCATTATGAAGATATTATTTTATCTTAATAAATGAAAAATGTAATGCCACCCTCTCAATGAGAGCAAGGTATCAAAAGAACGAATTATTAATGTAAAGGTGGTTTACAGGGACCAACACCAACAATTGAAAATATAAGGGACTCAGCCTTAAGCCTAATAATTTGTTGGGACTTAAAACCTAATTAATGTTTAGAATAATACACTTTATAATAAATGACACGGAATTTAGTCATTTATGCTAAAAAATAAAACGACAACACTCCAAAATTACATAAATAAATAGTCTTACTCATTGTTAACATCTAGAAACGTAAGTTATACCAAAAAAAAAATCTAGTTGAGTATCAAATATGGAAAATATGATATCAAAAATGAACGATTTACGTGCAAAATATAACCTGTAATTGTCCTTTTTAATTTTACAATTAAATAAAAAAATATAATATCTCTAATCAATAACCCTTTGGACATAATCTCCTAGAAATTCAGCTACTTTCAGTATTAAATTCTGGCAACATAATGTACAAGCGCCCCTCTTCTAAAAATATTTTCAGAAAAACAATATGTTAGATGAAGATGATCAACTAGAAGATCTAAATGACTCCCTGCGTCAAAACCCGCCTATGGTGCAAGCAGCACATCAAGCTTTAGAGATGAACAGAGAGCATCGATTTACCAACTTATGAGTTCATGTTGTTCAGGAGTTGGAGGGCCAGGTCCACCTGGGCATCTATAGACATTTCAGGGGCAAAATCCGAACCCCCTCTTGGCAGCTTCCTGCTTCCCTCATCACTGTCGGAGTCAAAGTAAATCTTGTGCCGCTTGGTGTTTTGGCCGCCAACATCACTGTCTGAGCCCGAAAGCCCTTCTTCTTCTTCCTCTTCATCCTCCTCTCTCCGTTGCTTTAATTTCATCTTCTCCTTCGTTCGCTTCTCCCGCAGCCGCTGCTTATGCAGAAGCTTGTCCTCTTTGTCATGCCTCTTCATCTCTTCCTTCAGCTTCTTGAATCGGCCTTCCACTGGTAGAGTGGACAAAAGGTGAATGAGAGTTGGTCAAGCCTGATAATTTCCCACATCTTTCCCTTTTAAGCACCATCATTATCATCATCATCATCGTCATCATCATCATCATCATCATCATCATCATCATCATCATCATCATTAGTAGTAGTAGTCAGCCCACTAAATATATGTCAAACCCACCATCACTTTCATGCATGGCGGCTGCATTCAAGCAATACTTTAATAATGGGAATCTACGTCTAAAAGAAATTAATCAGATATCCTGTAAGTCTTTATGTTGAGGGGTTAAGACAGAAATAGAAATAGATCAGATGGAATGGAGATGGAGTACCTTCGTCCTTGTCAAAATGGAATGTGCCGCCTGTACCGCTTGTATCTGCAAGAGCGGCCAGTGGGGGAAGCGAGTTGCCCTCTTCATCGAAGACAAACCTCGTTCCAATGGGCCGATGCACATTGATCTTGAGCTTCTTCTTCTTCTTCATGACTCTGGTTGGAAGGCTGCACCACCGACGAACAGGAGAACCAGGTCAAAGAAGCACAAAGAAATCCCAGCATCACAGTAAAGAACAAAGAAAGATCATGGAAAAAGAGATAATACCCATCGGGGAGATCTTCCCCATCCGCCTCTGGAGCCTCCTTCTGTAGGAGAATCTCATCTCCCGACTCCTCTGATACGGCAGCCTCTTGAGCTCTCCTAGGAACAGCCACCAGCACATCTTGATTTTCTCCTGCAGATTCCTTTTGGAGATCCAAAGGAGAAGTCTTCTCTTTGGTTGCTGCTTTGCCCTTCTGTTGCTTAAGAAAGCGTATGACTGGCGTCATGGGCAGCCCCAGCGATGCAGCAAACTCTTCAGAGGGCAGCTTTGACACATCAAAGACCTCCTTGTCATGCTGATGATGTATGGACCTGAGGTATGTGATGAAGGCCCTCTGGGCCAGAGCCTGCAGGTTGGGGTACTTCACCAGGAGAGACGCCAGCAGTCCTGAAATAGGCTGCAATCTCTGCATATTTGCCTGGAAAAGGAGAAGAGGAGTATATGATTTATAACCCACCTTTTCAAAAGAAAAATGAAGAAATATTACCAGGGTTTTAAGCCGAGGAGATCCGTGCATTGCAATAGCTGAATTGAGATATAAGAAAAATAAATTGAGATTACGTAGGAGTTATTCGTACCTTTCTGAGCTGAATTGGTATCTTAGGTTCTGCATTCTGGAGCTTGGTGATCATCTCCTTCTCTGAAGGGGAAAAGAAGAGAATTGACTTCCCCTTAGAAGTGAACCGGGCTGTGCGGCCAACTCTATGGATATATGCTCCAATGTCCTCAGGGCAGTCAACCTGACCCAGTAGGAACCGATTAAAATGGGATTTAATATAATATAATCTTAATCTAGAGAAGACTCGGGGAACAATGTGAGAGGTTGACCTGGATCACCCAGTCAACAGCAGGGAAATCGAGTCCTCTGGATGCCACATCAGTTGAAAACAGGCACGCCCGCTTCTCACAGAACTGAGCATAGATGGCCATCCTCACATCTTGTCTCATCCGTCCGTGAAGACACAGTAAAGGAATTCCAGGGCGCAGCTTTCTGAATGATTCATACACGAATTTAACCTAGCAAAACCAACACTCGAAATTAATTGACATCAACACGAAGATGATTAAAACCCACTGTAGTAACAGGAAAGAAAGATGATTTTTTTCTCTCTTCACACCCACATCAAAAATGGAAATGACAACATCGAATGGCAAGATTCGAGTGGTAAAATGCCTCAACATACATGAAATAGAACCTACTCATCAAAGTCAACTCAGTAAATAACCAAACAGGAGAAACAAAGCCCCCACCACCGGGCCCACTTCAAAGTTCATGAGATAAAACCTTCTACGTTTTTTATTACATTGACTGCATGCTTGGTTCATAACACAAGTCAACAAGAGCAGGTTCAGAAGAAAGCTTTCGGAAATTGTTGTCACCAGGGATTCCGTTTCAGCAGAATAATTAAATTCTGTTATTTCTTCGATGACATCACCCGAAATTCAGTTTGTGCATAAATTATGTGTAAAAGACGGAATGCTTAATGAACCTGCTTGCAACTTGAGAGGAAGATGAGCATCTTGGAGTTAAGATGAGACTTGATGAAGCTCCACAGCATGTCCAACTTCTGCTCAAGGGGAACTTCCATAGCAACCTGATTCAGGTGTTCAGGCGTGGCGGTTTCGCTCTCAGCATGCACACTGATATACTCTGGGTCCTTCAAGCTGAGCCTGGCCAGATCCTTGACTGATTTCGTTTGTGTCGCCGAGAAAAGCAGCGTCTGACGCTTCTTCGGAAGCTGGGAGATTATTGCGTCTAATTCCTTCCTGAATCCTGCATCAAGAATCCGATCCGCCTCATCAAGTACCAACACCTGCCACATGACCCAGAACATGGAAATCCGAAATGATAAGAAATAATCAATCCAGCGTCAATTTATGAATTCATAAGCCTGTCGCATGAACAAGAACGAGAAATCTGAAACAACAAGAAATAATCAATCAAGCGTCAATTGAAAAATGAAAAACCTGTCGCATAACCAAGACCATGAAATCAGAAATGATAAGAAATCACCAATTCAGCGTCAGTTATGAAATGATAAACCTATCGAACTACCAGGCACATTAAATCGGAAATCATACGAAAAATTCAATCCAGCATCTATAGAACATCTGGAAGAATGGGTTCGGATCTAGACCTGAAGCTGTGAACAATCAAAATTGGGAGTCTCGTCCATGTGCTGGAGGAGTCGACCGGGGGTGCAGATTAGTATGTTCATACTGTTGACGCGCTCTTTCTCTGTCTCCACATCTTTGCGACCACCAATCAAGAGGCCTGCGCTCAGAGTATGGTGCTTGCCCACGGTCCGCAGCTCCTGAAAAAGTTGACCAGCCAACTCCTTTGTGGGCGATATTATGATGCTGCCAACTCCATCATGAACACCCCATCTTAACCTGTACAGCTTCTCTATAACCTGAAAACACTCCCAAGCTTTTAATTTTCAATCATGGTGAACAAGGCACCATACCGCCACACCAAATTATAAACTCCGACTTCAGAGCGGTCGTGCTCCATACACAAAAAAAATGCAATTTTCGGATGTATCTGAGTCTAGTGTCAAGGAACAAACGGGTTGATTCGCACCGGGATGATGAAGGCCAGGGTTTTCCCTGACCCTGTTTTTGCGGCGCCAAGAACGTCACGGCCGCAGAGCGAGTGGGGGAGGGACGCCCGCTGGATGTCGCTCATCTCCACGTACTTGGGCTTCAATCCGTCCTTGGTTTTCTGAGACAGCGGTAGCTGTCTGAACCATTTGCAACCCGCATAGGTGGAGAACTCCCCATCGGCGGTGCGGCCAACTGCGGCATCGGCGGGAGGGTGGGGGAAGGAGAGCGGGTTCGTTCCATTGTCGGGCTTCTGCGCCTCGATCCACTCCTCCAGTAGAGCTATCTCCTGGACCTCTGAGAGGCGCTTCTGCTTGCGGTCACCACGGTTACTCTTCTTCCACACCTTCCTCTCCTTCCCGGGCTCTCCGGGAAGTTCTTTTGCCATACTTCGATTCTTTCCCCTTTCCTTCGGCGCCGGCCGTTTGTCTTAGGGTTTTGGAGCAGTCTATGTAGAAACCCACGACCCCCACACCTTCAAAACCTGCGTCAGTCCGTCGCCATTCATGGACGGGGGGCTATCATAGACAAAAAGTTACTCTATCCACAGAAAAATACGCGTAGAGTTTCACAGAAAGAAAATTCATCGATGACTGCTTAAATTATTTTTTTGCACAGATCACTGTTTCTATTTTTATATATATTGGTATAAAATATTATAAAAGTTATTTAATATTAGAGATGAGTTAATTCTATTAAACAGTAAAACAATTCATTAATTTCTATCTCACCCCTGTTCAGCAATAGTTCTTTGATTACTGATTACTGAGGCAGCAACTTCCATCCCTCCCAATCTTTGATGGGTCAAATCTTCAAAGGGATACTATTGGCTTCCGTTTAAGATGAGCTTCCACTTCTACACAAACCATGTTGATTTTGAATCATATATTCTTGATATTTGAATACAATGATTTATTTATGTCAAAACATAGTTTTTTTTCTTTTTATTCATATATCTTGCTTCATTGTAAATACACTAATCTGACTACAACTAATATGAATTTAGCCATTTTTTCCAAAATCATGAAAAATCTAATTTTTTTCCATGATAGAGATCCCAAATATCGGCATTTTCATCTACAAAGTGGTATCATATATTCCCAGAGGCATCCTTGAAGATCTGAGAATTAAGTGTTATGATCTTATTAAATTATAATACATGAACAAATCAACTATTAGCATAGTTCATAATTCGGTACAAGATGATCATACCAAACATGTTGAGATAAATTGATACCTCATCAAGTAGAAGCTAAGAAGTGACTCATCTGTGCTCACCATATTTCAACTCATGATTAATTGGTGAATATACTTGCCATGTGATTAAACTGTTCTACATTGCATAGGCTCATATCTTTGATAACATTAATTTATCAACTTGAGGGGGTATGTTGAAACACATATTTTCTTTTCATTCATCCAATTCAATTTAAGTGAGACCCATGCAATTAGATCAAATACAGTTACTAGAGTCATATATAAATTAGTCAAGTTCGACCACAAGTGATATGATTTTTTTCTCATCTTTCCCATATCCATCTCTCTTGACAACGTTTCTCTGAAGACTTAGGGTTTCATCTGTAACAATTTTCTATCGCATAAAACACATAAAATAAATAACTCATAAAAGGATCATTTTCAATACAATTTTTTACTCTAATTCTGTGCACAGTTGAGCAAACCTTGTCGACTAACTTCTTTAAAATATATGTTAATTAGTAATCTGGCATTCTCCAACACAATCTCTTATAAAAGAATCAACATCAATCATGCTATTTCCTCACTATCTCCGGCATTCTAAACACAATTTATAATATCCCCTTTATCTATTTGTCAACAATGAAGATCTGAGTGAACGTGGGTCCCCAAGATGATGAGATGATGAAGAGTAAGCCATTTCTCTTCTGGCTCCATGCCCAGCCCCGACCTTCTCCTATGGTGACTCACCTCGAAATTATCCTGCACAAAATGGTCAACTCAGAGATGCCAAGAACAGTTTTCAGAAGAGAAATTAGCATGGTGAAGATGCTGCCGTACTAACTATCTTTGCAGATAGCATGAGCTTGAATACATTTTAAGTAGTCCAACTAGTAAATTAGTTTCTCTGCAACCATGTTCACCATCAGTATGCTATTAATAAATATATATATATATATATCAATGTCCCCACAAGCAATTGTCTGATGACAAGGAAAAGATTGATGACGATACTGAATTAGCTTGGTCATCATCCACTGCAGTGAGGTCATTTGACCGACACTGATCATATTCCTAAAAGAGAAAATAACCATAAGCTTTATTGTATGGCGTTGACTGGAGTTAGTTTTGCTAAAATGATATTAATGTATAGATTTCAATGGGTAAGTGTACTGAAGATTCAATCCCAAGCATTCCAATCGCACTACCAGACTAACTAGAATGACAGGCAGATTATATTTTTGAAGCCGGTTATCAAACAATTCATTCCAACTTTTAGATAAATTCAGAACTACAAGTACATCAGAAGCGACAGTAATAAAATCCCTCTGAATACGTACTCACTGTCTTTATGAGAAAAGGCATTCGATCATTAGGCTTACGCACATTATTACTATTTTTGACATCATACAACATCTTATTGAATGTAACAAAAACAGTATGATCACGAAGCATTTCAGAAGCTACTCTCACTTTAAGCCAAATATATCACCATCTACTTCATTTATTAAAAATAGATATTTAATGGAAACGGTCTCTGTGAAGGATCCCCGTATTTATAACAAATACATTCATTTTAATGGCTAGCAGCAGTGCAGCCACACTTTGGCTCTGAGTTTTCTGAAGATAAATTTGCAAGGACCTTATGAGCAATAAAAATAATTCGACAATCCATCATGGAAAGATAACCAAATTCCCAAATATCTCAGTTGGGAAGTGTTTCTGATGGTAGTAAAACCCACAATTCGTTAAAGATGGGAAGATCACATAGCACATGGACATGGACAGTTTTAAATACCAAAAATAAAGGAAGAGAATCCCTTAGCACACCATAGAGCACCAAAGAAATCAAAAGTCACTGTTCCAGCAAGGTTCTAGATCAGTGGTCGCCCATTGAATAACACCATCAAAGAGCCGCCATGATCAGTATTTAGGAGATTACAACACTCCGATGCACTCAACTGGAGCAGAAAGCTATAAGTTTTCTTTTATCAATTAATAAATACCCATGCTCCAAGAGCTCAAGGCCTGTGATGCTACCCAGACCTACTAAAGCAATATGTCTCGTGAAATCAGACTAATTGGAAGACATTAATATTGATCCACGATAGCAGATGGGAGCCGCACTATCTCTTTTCTGCTTAACAAGAAATGCTCGTATGTTCAGGATGTCTCTATCTCTGCATCTTCAACATAATGCTTCACACATTTACATGGAACTGTAGACGAAAATGACAGAAGACTAAAAACTTCTAAATTTGGTAAAGTACTGTTTAATATAACCAAAGGTAGCAATGCATGTCAAATAAACCGAAGACTTAAATTTTTACCTGATGACTCACCCGCCTTTATTTAGTAATCCAAAACCCTCAGGTGGCCATACCTAAAAGCAACACAACAGATGACATGATGACATCAGTTACATGAGACCATAGTCGAACAGGATATTGTCTTCAAAAATATATAATGGCAGAGATGATGCTCACTCTGCAAAAGGCCTTTCCTTTAATGAGGGCATAAGGCACCGAGCCAAAGTGCCGTGAGTCCCTTGAGAGAAGCGGGTTATCCCCTGTCACCCAAACATGGTCCTTTGGTACCTGCAAATTATATAAATTATAAGACAGGAACTATAAAACAAAATACCACACAGTTTGCCCTGTTCTACTTACAACTAGGGTTCTTGGCATAGATCTTTCCCCGTGGACAGGGTTGACTAAGAACGTGACTGAATCTCCCTCTAAGCCTGTCACCCGTTTCGTTACAATCTTCTTGGGGTCTTCTGGCGATTGAATGAGAACCACATCCCCAATACTGACATTCCCAAGATGGGTAGATACTCGATCCACTAAAAGCACATCTCCTGATAAATTTAATGTAGGGAGCATGCTGGGGCCATGCACCTACATTCAGATACACCATCTTTTAGGGCGACGAGTTAATGTAGAAATGGTGACAGTAACATCACATTCATGTCAATGACCGGTCTAAAATTTCCGTATCCACATGAAAAAGGAGAAAGAAAATGTGTGGCCATCTTTTCATACACCAAACAAGGAAAAGATCATCCACGATCCCTTTGAAACCAACAGGAAACCTATGCAGCAGGATGGATCTACGTGAAATAAGATAAGGTTGGTGGCAATTCGGAAGCATTGAAGGAAATGATATAGCAGAATAAGAGAGGCGTGATTTACCAGAGCTACACCAAATACATAATTGTTGGTAACATGGATAAAGCACGCAAATTTAGCTACCAGAAAGCATCTACCAACTGCCTCACTGGAAATGCTCTGCCATGGTATGTTTCTGATCCGATGTGGGACGCTTCTCGCCCAAAAACCAAAATTTGTCCAGGCCATGAGGGTTACGTGCCTGCCTACGAATTCTCCCTCCGCTCTTTCTCCGTAGAAAAACTGCAGAATACCATTAGATGGAACACTCTCATTCAGTCTATGGGAAATGACCATGATACCCACTTTTGAAACAAGTATTTAAAGAATGGTGATGTGAAAAATGCTGAAACGGAATACAATAAATTTAAAATATACAGTGAAAACATTCCATAGATACAGTACCCAGTGGATCCGTTTACGGTAAAGTAGACAAGTATCCATTTTTTCTCTGATGATATATGAACAATGTATTTTTTATTGAGCTCAGAGAAAAATAATTATAGAAAGCGTTTCATCATTAGTCATCTAAGGTCAATCTTTCTGATGAATGAGAACATATTCATCTAAGGAACGTATAACTCCCAGTAAATAAAAAATAATCTTGGTGATAAACAGTGAAGTATATTCATTTTTACAAATATGTTTAGATAAGCCACCTCCAAAAAAAAAGTTGAAATATCCCCACGTTAATAACCCAAATCCAAAGTTACTAGGTAAGTGGAATTAGCATGAATTATTTTTTCATCATAAGGGGATTGAAAAAACTTAAGCTTTATAATAATCCCAACAAAATGAGCTGGCAACAAGGTTTACCTTGACAAATACGAGAAAATACAGTATTTCATGACTAGCTATAATGGCTGATTATTCAGATTAAGTATCCACTTTACTTCTTTAACGTTCTTCTGCTCAAGAGACTGCCAAATCAGACATCAATGGTAGTCTAGCATAATTGTAAATGATATTCAAATGGTGCACTCTGATGGGAAGAGGAGGTGCGCAATGCTAACGTGAAATAGTCAAAGATGTTTTCCATGAAAATTAAATGATTAAAGAGTGGGTAGGAAATAGTTATAAAAGGCGCCAGCAGAAATCGTTGACTCTGTAAAACCATAGATTGGGCTAAAATGGATGCAGACATCAATTATGATCAGAAAAACCAAGAACAATATACTTCTTGTGTTAAATAATGAATCTGAAGAGATGAGTTTACAAGGCTTGGACAGGAGAGGAAGGCGATTCAAATAGTGTCATACTTTTCACGAAAAAGGAAAGACCACAATAATGAAAAGATAACACAAAGTCCAAGAAAAACAAGCACAATGTCACGGATTTTGAGTAGAAACACTTGAATCGAGAGTATCAATGAAGCAGATTTCTAGATAGTTTCTGAAATACAGAGACAAATGTTTGATTTGTGATGAAGGAACAACAATCTGATGTTAGATCAGCAAGATTGCTTCCCCTCTATTTGATGTCAGGACCAAGTTTCGAGAGAAAACCATGTTCACATGCGAGATGATATGGAATTCCGGCCAATTGTCTCAAAGAATCAGTCAACAAGTGGAGGTCTGCATTGTCAACGAAATCTTAGTAGATGAATACGAAAGTATAGCGTACTCTTGATGTTCTATAAACGGTCATCAGTGTAGTATTAAACCTTTGAAATGCAGTTCCCAGAGCATCCCAAATCTGACATGAACTGACACTCACTCACACATCTCTCAAGTCACTTGAAGGACATAGCCTCATGGCTGGGAGGTTAACCTGTCCAAGGGGAAGAGTATCTAACAACAAACTCCGATTCACTTGAAATTAACCTCTTTTAAAAATCCCCAGCAGCAACCTACCACTGGAGTCATCCATCGGCGATCATTACTGTCTAGTGGAAGAAGTCTGCACTGACAAGCGTACATGGCCAGTGCCAAAGGGTCTAGATTCATTCATGACCATTCCCATCAAGCGGGAGAAGTCCATGCCCGCAAGTAAACATGGATAATAACAAAGAATCTATGGAAACCTACACCCGCTGTTCCCACTCAAACATTGCCGAACGCAGGAGCACTGTACAAGGACATTTCAAGAGGAAGAAGAAAATGTGACAATCATTGATTTCGAAGCATTTGAGGGCTTCACTAGCCCAACCTGGTTTTGAAAAAACTCCTTCAGCCTGCTGCTTGAGACTTTTGTCTGTGAAACTCCAATCACTGGGTTCATGTCACCAGCAACCTAGAGGAGATCGGCAGGGGCCCGAAATCAGCAGCTTCCTTAGATCCAGAAGCTTCATCTTGTGAGGTTTCAGCAACCCGTCTTGGATAAATGGCGATCTCAAAGACTTTGAGCGGCAGTCTGGTAATCAGATGGCTCTGCCGATCATTTAAGCCCTCAAGTTTCAGTCCAGGAAGATTCAGCAGCAGCTTTAGCATCATCAACAACCTCCTCATCAGTCAAGGAAGCCTTGCCTGGGTCCTCAGATGCTAACACGAAGCTTTGGCTGAGAGAGATTAAGAAAAAGGGAAATACCTCTACTTTGACCAAATCGAGATTTGCCAGGATCCACACACCCTCTTCCGACTGAAATCAATTGAACTGACCAATGCAGCACTGAAATCGAGTCAGAACACAAGCTAACTGAGAATCAGACTGGAAAAGATTCTGTCAGGGAGGGCTGCTGAAAGCCGAAACTGCTCTTTGCCACTTCTTATCAGATTGTCCTTGCACACAACAGCTGCATTCACTCTGAAGCATTGGAGAGGAAACAACAGATGAGGATTCTCCAGATCGTTCAGCATCAGACGTACTCACTTCTGTAGTTTTGTAGACTTCTCCCACTAGATGAGAACAGCCCTAAATGGATGAAGCCATTGATACACTTGGTCTTTGTGCCTAATCAGACGGAACAAGCCTTTCTAGTCTAGCATGCCGTTGTTACGTTGAAGGCGTATCCTTACTTTTGACTAGTGCGAGGAAAAACCCTTTAAGTTCGAACATTACACAGTTCAGACAATAGAAAACATTAAATGCTTCACTTCATCACAACCATTAAATATCAACTAGCAATTCTTCCAAGAAAAGTGATCCCTTGTGGAGAAAAACAAACCCCAGCTGTATCTTAAAAAATGAATTTTTGAACTGATTTAATACGCACTCATCCAAATCCCCAAGGATGGTGGAGCAAATCTATAGCTATGGTGTTTTCTTGATTTTTTTCATTTTTTATGTTCTAGCAAACGGAAACAGCTTTAGATCACTCGCCAATCTAAATTTAAAGATGGGAAGGACATGTTCAATGGGCTTTATGATGGTTAAAAACCCAAAAAGGAAAATACACCCACATATGGCAAAGATTGAAGAACACAGTATGTTCTCCAACTCTGAAGCAATGGGCATGAAGAAGTACAAAGAAACATGGCGAAGAACATGGATGTCTTCGCATGTCCCACTCTGTTAGCTTTAACATTTGAAATTAGCTGAAGGAGAATTGTCAGATGAAGATTATACGTTGATTCTGCTTGTGGAAGACAACCAGCGGACTGTACTAGCTCTGAACATGATCATGATAATGGTGGTAGTGATCGTTGTTCGCTGAAAAACTTGAATAGACCGTAAGACTCCATCTTCTGTAGAAAAAAGCTACGGGGGAGAGTAGAGCAGTGGCAAAGGAGAGATCAACAAGGATCTGATCAAGATCGTCAATTCAAAATGCATCACAAGTTGCCCATCAGAGGCTAAACCACTAGTATATAGAGATGATCAACAACTAACCAAGTCAATGAAAGATCATTTTCCTAGGATGTATGACAAGTAAAAACGATGAAGAGCAAAACAACGGCAAATGGGCCATCCTAAATTAGAGATATTCGTGAAACAACAGTTAGAGATGATCAAATGGGCCATCTTAGATTCGGATTTCCAGAGCAAAAACACAGCAAGATATTCGTGAAACAACAGTTAGAGATGATCAAATGGGCCATCTTAAATTCGGATTTACAGAGCAAGATATTCGTGAAACAACAGTTAGAGATGATCAAATGGGCCATCTTAAATTCGGATTTACAGAGCAAGATATTCGTGAAACAACAGTTAGAGATCATCAAATAGGCCATCTTAAATTCGGATTTAGAGAGCAAAAACACAGCAAGATATGCGTGAAACAACAGTTAGAGATGATCATAGGTACCTTGGAGTTTATACACTACGGAATTTACCTCGGAATTATAAAGAAGAACATGACCTATGAATTTCCTAGGTAGTTTACCACCACAAATAAATACCCAAATTAGCAGACCCCACTGCCCGCCATCCTGGTCCGTTCTACATGGGCCCTTGCTCGAACACACAAATCTACCGTCCGTGAAACGTTCACAGGACCATATCCCTCACACAGAATACAGAAAGAACACCAAAAAATAACTTCCGAACAGCTATGAACAAGACCATACGATAGAACACGCGACATTCTGCACCCTGATGCTTGATCATCGTAGATACAGCATCAAGCAGGCCATCGTCATCTTCCCGTCACCCAATAATCCGAGAAAAGGAAACTGTTGATCGTACAGTTTCACAGAGACCCACTACTCGATCGAGCATATCGACGAGACCAAAAATCACGGAGCAACAAAGGTCAGCCTCCCCACGAGAGGAGGGAAGTAGAGAACGCGTTGTAGCTTCTCCTCCTCAACGTAGCAACACGAAGAAGGTTAGGGAGAACACCTGGGTGAGGAAAGAAAATACGACAGAGCTCAGAAAGAGGACCCACCTGGGTGAGGAAAGAAGCCCTAGCGTCTTCCTTCTCGCTCGCATCCGCCCGGTCTACCCTCCTCGGCGATTCCGAAAAACCTTAGTTTTTCCGGCCAATGCAGGTCGTAAACACAGACAGATTAGGAGATTAGAGAGGGGAGAGAGGCCATCGCCAACACTAACCTTGCCCGGATGGAACGAACATCCACTGAGATTCAGCCACCCCTGAAGTCTAATTTAGAGAACATATTGAGCCCATGCATCTGAACTCAAATATATTGTCATTTTTGGTATATAAATATATAAAAAATGACCTAATCTGTTCATACTCTGTGATGAACTATTAAAAAAAAGTGTTCATACAACATGATTGATCTTTGCTGAAACGGCATGAATTGCGGCAATTTCTTTGTTTATTAGCCGCGAAAAATCAGGGTCGATGATCAATGAGAACAGACCCAGCGGACTACTTTCGTGAAAGTGTGGAGGGATTCAAGTCAAAACCCATGAAACAGAACCAGTAATCTCTAACATGGCGAAAATTGTGCATTATTTTTTTATTATAGAAAGTGATTAGCATTTATTTCTTGGAACAAAGTTTACATAAATCCCCGAGATAAATGAAGCTCAGAAAATCTTCCAAGGTTATCAGTAAATGGGAACAAGTATAACATTTTTTTTATTTCGTAAGAGGACTGGAAATAATTTCTATATTTTTTAATAACCAAATAAAAAATGAGTCCGGAATAAAATTCAACTCAATTAGAATGAGAAAGTGCGGAAGAACATCAAATCCGGCAACCAATTTGAGGTATTTTTATAAGTTGATGGATAGGTCTTGCAGAACCCGTCTAGCATCCTTCGGAATTTCATCTCATTTAGGAGATGATTCAACCCTAAATGACAAGGAAGAAAATTCAGAATCTGAACAATTGGGGTTCTACAACGCAGAGGTGTGCCCATTTTTTTCATTCTCTCTAGGTCCAGGATTTTTGAATAATTTTCATGAATCTAGGCCCCTGAGCTGGGGTTGACTTTTTCACTACTTGATGGTCTGCAAAAGTCTACCACAGAATTTCAACAACCAAGCACACCCCATCTAACCTTCATGAAACCTCATAGAATTCGAGGCGGGTCAGACCACCACGGTAATAGAAACTGGGATCGGCGAGGTTCACTCCTATTAACATTTTCACAACTTGATGCTGCCTTCAAAAGTCAACCCCACAACGCCAACCATCGAGGATTCCCCGTCTAACCCTCATGAAACCTCGGAGAATTCGAGACGGGTCATACTTCCCCGGTCTGAGAACTGGGCTTGGCGAGGTCCACTCCTACTGACTTTTTCACAAATTGGTGGTCTTCAAAAGTCATCCCCAGAATGCCAACAACCAAGCACACACCATCTCACTCTCATGAAAGCTCGTAGAACTCGAGGTGTGTCAGACTTCCCCGGTCAACACCCGTCTTCCCAGAAAGCAATCACAAGCCCCCAATAAGAAGAACAAAAACCAGAGACAGTTCGTGTAAAGATTCGAATTCATAGTGTAGATGCCTCCATTCATTCAGGACTCACAACCTTCAACCCATCCCCGCCGAAAAAGGAAAGGAAAAATGGCAGATTTAGCCCAACCCGGCATTGGCCTCTGCTGCTGCTGCGCCTGAAGCAGGTGGTTCCTCTTCCATAGCTCCAGAACCGGGTAGAGAGGGCAAGTCCTCTTCTGGTCCTAGAGGACTCTCTGTCGTCCCTGGGGCTGCCATTGTAGTCATCACTTCCTTTGATGGGGCCTCAAGATGCTTTTGCGAGTCAAACATCTCATCAAGAGGAGATGCTTCGCCATTATCATCTTCCTGCTTGGACCTGACAGCCGGCTCTGCATCATCAGCAACCCCACAGAGACTAAGAGACTTTGTGCCACCTGTTAGATCGGGCCCATCAATGGATGGTTCATGAGCTTCTTCAGATTCGCCATCATCATCTTCCTGCTTGGACTTGACAGCCGGCTCTGCATCATCAGCAACCCCACAGAGATTTGGAGACTTGGTGTCACCTGTTAGATCGGGCCCATCAATGGATGGTTCACAAAGTTCTTCAGATTCGGAGATCTCAGCAGTCGGTCCAGAGAAACATGGTTGGCCTCTGCCAGATGAGTCAGATGGCTGTTTAGATGCAGAAACATCTTCTGGAAAGACATTTGACAGATCATGCCCAGAATCAGCGGCTTCCAGAGATTGAGAATCTCCACTCTGGGAAACTTTGGCGACTGGTTCTGTATCAATGGAAACTTCGGAGAGCTGAGCAGGAGGCCTACCGTCAGATCGCACTGCCGATTGTTCAGCAGCGGTTTTTGGTTCATCAGCAGCCTCCTCCTGATGGGGATGGATGCCCACAATCTCAGCTGCCTGTATGGGCTCCATGGTTTTAATCTGGGGAACTTCAGAGACCGTCCCTGCATCGCCAGGAAGGTTGGTGGACTCATTGACTGCCGATTGGTTGAATTCAGAAGACTCATTGACCGCCACAGTGTCCCCAAGAGATGTGTCAGCTGATTGCCCAGTGTGATGAGAAGCTTCAGCAGCAGGAATTTCGGTGACTGGTTCAGCACCATTGATGATTTCAGGGAGTTGGGCATGAGAAGCCTCAGTTGTTTGCTTATGATCAAAAGCTTCAGCTGGGGAAACTTGCGGGAGATGGGCAGCCTCAGCCGGCTGCTCAGGTTCAGAGGTTTTCGACTGGGCACTTTCAGCATCTATGTCAGCAACATTCCTGAAGCTGGGTTCGGCATTCGGCACAGCTGCTTTCTCAGGCTCAACAGCTGATCTAAACAGGGGAATTTCATCAACCAGTTTCACATCAACAAACGTCTCATATTGCTGGGCAGTGTTACTAACATTTGATGCCTCTGGCACATGCAGCAGGGGTTTGGTGATGTGAGTTTGAGCGGTCTGCTTGGTGTCACAGGCAGCGTCCTGGAGATCAGAAGTCTCAACATCATTTCCAAAAATAGGCGGATCTTTTGATGCTGCTTCTTTCTTGGGTTCGGATGTAATCGCGTTGGCATCATGGGCAGCATTGGGGATTAAAGAAATGATCTTAGGGTTCCCACTAGCTTCAGGGAGGTCAACGCGGGCAGGCTGCAAGTTCTGAATTCCATCTATGATTTTGTTGTCACTACCAGTGGACTGGAAGTCCTCCAACTTCAGATTCCCACAGGCGTGGTTCGAGTCTTTTCCGGGCAATCTCGCCATGTCTGCTGAAAGATTCATCTGAACATTATTGCCATTTAAATCTTCCACGACTGCCGTAGATTCACTTTTACTGCGACTCCTGCATGCTCCATCCCTTCTGGCAGCGGACCGTGCAGGAGTGTAACTAGGAGGCTGCCACGCAGAGCTTGGTAAAGAAACCTCATTCCTCTCAAACATCTTAACATTTGGTGCGACGTCATTTGCAGAAGAGATAGGGACGGAGAGGCCTGGCTCGAAGACTACACCTCGCAGGACACACCCTCCACCACCAACTTGAACAGTGAGCATGTAACCAGCATCAAACCTCCCATCAAGAACACCAGAAACCACCTGGCCGACAAAGGGGTCAGCTCCATGACCCTCCCCGTCAATTCTGGCTCTTCGATTCCGCTTAGATGGCTCAGACCCAAGAATCTCATCCTTCCGTGGTCGCCCACGTTTGCGTTTCACAGTGTGGCTCACAAGATCAACGGAGTTCTCCTCTTGATGTTCTTGGGCCATGTCTTATGAAATAGATAAAGGTGAACCCACTTACTGATGTTCCATCCAGCAACCTGCGAGTGAAAACACAGTGCCAGTAAGGGGGGCTATTTTTATGTTGAAGACTTATTTTCACTTTGGCTCATCTGAGGAACAGCTTCAAACTTTGAAAATTACACAGTTGAGATAATAGATTTGCATGCTTCACACCAGTACTGGGTACTTCATGTCAGCTAGCATCACAATACGAAAACAATAAGAGAACACCGGAAAAAACAAACAGTTCCAAGAAAAACGTTCCTAGTGAAGCAGAACACCAGCTTTATCTAAGAGAAGGTATATAGCTTCAGACCCAAACCCCTATGAACACAAGCAAATCCAGAGCGATGGGTTTCTGTGAATTTCTTATTATTTAAGTTTTAGTGATTCGAAATAACTTTCCATCACATGGCAACATGAAACCTAAAGATAGGAAGGAGGTGCTCATGAGGCTATACAATTAAAAATAGAGAAAAACCAAAAAAGTCAAGTTTAGCATACGTTTTTCGAATGAATATTATGTTCTACATGAAAAATAAAGATATTCATTCTCTGAAAAATTCAGAATATAGAAAAGAGATGAAATCCAACTGGTAGGGGAATTAAAAGAAAAGGGTATCTATGAATGATTCGAGCTTTATGAAGGAAGCTTCCACTTGCTACATTTTTTTCCCTTTCACGTTTTTGGAGGGAGGAGCTTGAAAGGGCTCCCATCTGACTTCCCCCAGGTCTAAGTAAAAGTCTAGAGGTGGGCCAGCCTATCCCAATATGGGACATCCTGGGATCCGCAAAGAGCAGAACAAAATGATATTCATGACTAATTGGATAATATTTTATCCAATGACAGAGCGTAAACCGTATGTCAATATAGAAATGATTACAGATGAAGTACCAACAAGCATTAGCTAGCAACCTGAACCATGACAAAGAAGTCTCAACTGAAGCAGTGGGCATGAAGAAGTACAAAGAAACATGGCGAAGAACATGGATGTCTTCGTATGTCCCACTCTGTTAGAATTAACATTTGAAACTACCTGAAGGAGAATTGCCGAAAATAAGGCAGTGAAAGACCAAAAATAGAGAAATTTACGCGTTAATTCTGGCTGTGGAAGACAACCAGCGCACTGTATCTCCGAACATGATCAAGATAATGGTGGTGATGGTATGCCAAAAAAAACATGAATAGTCCGTAAGACTCCATTGTGTGTAGAAACAAGCTATGGGGGGGGTGAAGAGCAGAGGCATAGGAGAAATCAACAAGGATCCGATCAAGAGCATCAATTCTAAATGCATCACAAGTTGACCGTCAGAGACTAAACCACAAGTATATAGAGATGATCAACAACTGAACAAGTCAACCAAAGATCGTTCTCCTTGGAAGTATGACGTGTGAAAACGATGAAGAGCAAAATAATGGCCTCACTTAGCCTGGGAAAAAAAATACAAATATTGGCAAGGAACGGTATTAAAATCGTGAAATCAGGACGGAATGCCTCATGATGTTGCAAGATCCCCCCACTACAGTGAAAACTAAGAACAGTAGCTGATGTTGTCAGGATCAGATCGCACAGTTTGTCAAATTAATAACATAAGAGGCTTGGTAACAGTTCATGAAGATTAGACTCCTTCCCCAGTCTACTGTGTGGATATGACGCTGGCAGTTGCTGACCAGCAATATAACCAATAATGTGACGCAAGCAATAGAATTTAGCATAGATATGTCTGTAGTCATGCGTAGAATATATTCCATGTAAGGAGACAGATCATGGTACTTTGAAGTGGAAACTGTAAATAGCAGGAATTTTTTGGATAGAATCAAGCTTGTTGTGTAGCATATTAGCCCCTCATACGAGGTTTAGAGGCTTGTTGATGGTGATAGACCATCGAACTGGAGAATCCAGAAAATGAATCCTTGTCACAAGACGAAGGCATGGGGAGATATTATCAAAAAATGCATTCACAAGATCACCTAGTGCTCCTCCATGTTATTTAGACAGAGGGAAATAGCCATCAACAGATCATAATGGAACTTTTCTATCCTATAAAGAACGCCTCCGATTAATATGTACAACAAGGTCTTCAAAAACCATCAGAATTAGAAGTTAATCTAAAATGCAGCTCACAATGCAAACTTAGAAACAAGAAGCTACCGACGATACCAAGTTCATTGACAAAACCAAAAAAAATGATCCTGATTTTTAGAAACTAAAACAATATGCTCATTTATTGATGCATCATCTAGTGAAACAGCTACATTTTCTACGCACGTATACAAAAAAATAAGAAAAAAAATACAGATCCACTTGTGTTGGGCTGTTCGTTGCTCATTCCTATCTCGTGCACAGGTGTCTAGGTGATCAATATTCAAATCCTTCATAGAAAAAGCTTTCCCATCCTAAATTCGGATATACAGAAAAACAATTAGAGACGATCAAATGGGCCAACTCACAAAAACTAAGGCCTTAGATGCCACAGAAGCTACCTTGTTTACTCCCCTAATGATTTCCACATGTTGCCCATTTATCAAGTAGAGTATGGCCCATGAATTTCATAGGTATTTTATCATAACATATAAATACAAAAACAGCAGACCTCACTGCCCACCATCCTGCTCCGTTCTACAGGTGTCGAACACACAGAACTAACGTCCATAAAACGCTCAAAGAGCCGTATCCTTCACACATAATGCACAGGAAGGACACCAAAAAATAATTTCCGGACGGCTACAAATCAAGATCATAAGAAAGTCAAACAACATTTTGCACCTGATCGTTGTAGATACATGTCGCACACACACCTTACGGCATCAAGGGGGACATCGTCATCTTTCCGTCACCCAAAAATCCGAAAAGAAAGAAAACAACATCGCGTACGATGAACCGTTTCCCGACGAGAAAAGCGCAGAAAGGATAAGCCGTATTTTCGAGCGAGCATATGAACGAGACCAAACATCAAGGAGCAACAAAGGTCAGCCTCCCCACAAGGGGGAGAAAATAGGAAAACGCGTCGCATTTCCTTCCCCAGAAAGAAAGTAAATTCCACCGTAGACGCGAGGACAGGAGGAGACCGCCGCGGTCAACCACCCACCATTCCGCCCACACTTTCCCCCCCTCCGACAGTACCCAGAAAGAGGACCCACCTTGGTGAGGAAAGAAGCCCTAGGGTGTTCCTTCTCGCTTGCATTCGCCCGATTTCCGCTTCTCGGCGATTCCGAATAACCTTAATTTTTCCTCCCAATGCAGGCCATAAAATACCCCCAGGTTAGAGAGAGAAAGTCGGACTTTATGGCGTAAATAGTTGAGGCCCACTCGATCACCCAATGCAGGCCATCCTTTGATTTTCGCCCAGAATGTTCCACGCCAGCTGTGCAACCTACGTGGACCGTCATCCCTCCCGGTGGACGAGCTCTATCCGACGTGGGTAGTCCACGTTGGAATCTGAAACGGACGGGCCAGAATCCCCTGGGCCCCACGCGCGTAGCCAGAAACCGTTTCGGCCACCGTCTGATTTTCGATGCGCTCCAGAATGTTCCAACCCCAACTGTGTGGCCTACGTGGACCGCCTTTCCCCCTCCACCGATGAGGTCTGGATCCGACGGCGGACGAGCTCCATCCGACGTGTGTAATCCACGTGGGTTTCTGGATCGGACGGGTGAGAATCCTCTGGGCCCCACCGTGGATAGGTAGAAACAACCTCCCCTCTCCTTCCTCTTCCCAGCTTCTCTCTCAGCCATGTCTTCCTCGTCTCTGTTCTCCGTCTGCCGCCTCCCGTTGCAGACCTCCGAGCCTAGCAGAAGGCGGCCGCAGAAGCTCTGGATAGGGTTTGGGATCCCTTCTTCTTCATCCTCTTCGCGGAGATTCAACCAGAGGTCCTGTCAAATCCGGGCGGAGGCGCTCCAGACAGACTTGAGCTCTTCGAAGAGCTCCGAGTCTGCAGAAGATGAGGACGCCATTCAGAAATTCCTCAAGAGGGACTACAAGTGGGGATTCACCTCTGATTTCGAGTCCTTCTCCATCCCCAAGGGCCTGTCGGAGGAGACCGTCCGTTCCATCGCCGCCATCAAGGGTGAGCCAGATTGGATGCTCGAGTTCCGCCTTTCCGCGTTCCGGAGGTTCCTGCGCATGCGGGAGCCCCAGTGGTCGGACAACCGGTACTCCCCGATCAACTTCCAGGAGATGTGCTATTACTCAGCGCCTAAGCTGAAGCCTAAGCTGAACAGTTTGGATGAAGTCGATCCTAAGATACTGGAGACGTTTGAGCGGCTCGGAGTCCCGTTGAATGAGCAGAAGAGGCTTTCCAATGTTGCAGTAGATGCCGTCATCGATAGCACCTCAATCGCGACGACTCACAGGGAGACCCTTGCCAAGGCGGGGGTCATTTTTTGCTCAATTTCGGAAGCAATCAAGGAGTACCCTGATCTAGTGAAGAAGTACTTGGGGAAGGTGGTTCCGCCTGGAGACAATTTTTATGCAGCACTCAATTCTGCAGTCTTCAGTGATGGGTCATTCTGTTACATCCCGAAGGATACTGTATCTCCTATGGAAATATCTACTTACTTTCGGATCAATGACCGTGAGACTGGCCAATTTGAGCGAACGCTGATTGTGGCCGAGGAGCGCAGCTTTGTGAGCTACCTGGAAGGGTGCACAGCGCCATCCTATGATAAAAACCAGCTCCATGCGGCGGTTGTGGAGCTGTACTGTGCAGAGGGAGCTGAGATAAAGTACTCCACAGTGCAGAATTGGTATGCTGGCGATGAAGAGGGGAATGGTGGAATCTATAACTTTGTCACAAAGAGGGGCCTTTGTGATGGTGATGGATCAAAAATTTCTTGGACACAGGTGGAGACTGGATCTGCAATCACGTGGAAGTATCCAAGTGTCATTCTGAAAGGAAATAACACAATTGGAGAGTTTTATTCGGTGGCACTTACCAAGGATTACCAGCAGGCAGACACGGGGACCAAGATGATACATGTAGGACATAATTCAAGGAGTAGGATAGTTTCTAAGGGTATATCCGCTGGGAAGTCGAGAAATTGTTACAGGGGGCTTGTTCAGATTTCTCCGAATGCAGAAAACGCCCGTAATTTTTCACAGTGCGACTCCATGCTCATTGGTGACACTGCTGCTGCCAATACGTATCCATACATTCAGGTGTGTATTACTGACTGAACTGAGCAATCTCTCTCTTCTTTAAGAAATGAATGTAATACATACCTCTATCTTACATGAAATAGGAATGATTCATCCAAACAGGTCTTTTGTCAATCTACAATCAGCAACCCTTTTTAGTGTTCCCTGGTCGGACTTGAAAGCAGCTTTCTTAACTAGTTTATGCCACTTCGTTTCCTAGAAGTCACTTGACCGAATCGAAATTGTATCAAATTCATTCCATCAGTTTCTGCAGATCATTTGTACTTTCAAAAAGAAATTCACAGTCATCATGAAGAACTATAAAATGTTGCTGCGGCAGGTTAGATACCTTCTGTAATGACACATATTCGAACACATCAGGAAATAAAATAGAACAAGAGTAAAATTTAAAGTGGCAATCCTGCTAAGCAGGGTATCCTAGAATGAGACTTAGATTGACATCCTAAAACGAGTAGAATTCATCTTCCAAATCCTTGATGTCCTGAGCTTTGAATAGACAAAGTATTTGATAGTTTTTGTTTTCTATAGTTTGTTACTATTTCCCCTCCCTCCTCATACCAAGGGAGAGTTATCATTAGTTTTTGTATGTTCTTATATGTTCATATTTTCATAATTAAATTAACCCGTCCATTGAGAAACTAACATCATTAACGCTCATCAGAATTGTTCGATCATAACTACGGCCATCAGTCACCAATGCGGTCTGTCCTAGATTCCATCATATTGAAGGAAATGAATTTTTTTTCCCAAAAGGCCATCATACTCTATTGTCAACGAAGAATTTTGAACCCACATCATCATTGTAGAATCAGGAACATTTTAGGCTGTCTGTCACAGAAAGGAATGCATGATTCTTGTTTCTGATGTTTCGTCCAATAATAATGCAAATGTTTACTCCCCATGCACTTGCCTTCAGAGGGCTGAAGCTTCTGATAGTTTGTTTCTAGAATGAGAAAGCTACGTAAACCACCATACACCTTAATTCTAGAGTTGCTAATGAAGAATTTACCTTAAATGCTTCAATTACGCAAAGATGGTCTACTTTTGCTCGTTCAGACATTCCTGAGGTGTCATTGGAGCATACTTTTTTCTTCTTCTTTTTTTTATGGCCGTCTTGAGATATCCTAAACTAAGTAAAGAAGTGTCAGGTATGTCAGGCCAACGCGATGCCCCCACCAACGCCCTCTTGGTTCTTCCTCCTCCATTCTCCCTTGTCCCCTCCGCATGCCCTCTTGGTTCTTCAGACGCCATCCTCATGCCTCACCTTGTTCTCACCTGCCTTCTGTACCCCCGCCACCTCTGCTCACTGAGCTCTTTCTATCTAAACTCTGAGTTCAGGCCTTCGTACCAGAAATTCTGGGCATGCTTCTTTATCAGTTAACGTCCATATGCATGCTAACAGCCTTTCTCTCGGCAAAAATCATGTCCTGAGGATTGGTATCAGGGATAGAGAGAAAATATTTCAGTTAAGCCCAAGTGCAATGTATCTAATTGCGTGAAACCCTTACTTTTGTATCCTTGTAGGTTAAGTAGACTCTCTAAATAGTAGGGTCTTTTTATAACTTCAATAATATATGGCTCGAGTACTATTATTAGATATTTAGCCTCAGTAAGATTATTAGATATTATGATTATTATTATTATTATTATTATTATTATTATTATTATTATTATTGTGCATCTCTTGTTTCCTTGATTTGGAATTTCTCATGATGTCTGGATGAACATGTACGATCAGGTGAAGAACCCATCGGCCCGGGTGGAGCACGAGGCCAGCACCTCCAAGATTGGGGAGGACCAGCTGTTCTACTTCCAGCAGAGGGGCATTGACCACGAACAGGCAGTCGCCGCCATGATCGGCGGCTTCTGCCGCGATGTGTTTGAGAAGCTCCCCCTCGAGTTTGCTTCTGAAGTCAGCGCCCTGATGAATCTGAAGCTTGAGGGTTCCGTTGGCTGAACCCCCTTCACTGCAGAAACCCCAGTTCGTCCCTGATACATATAGATCCTGAGCTGTATAAATCTCTCTCTCTCTCTCTCTCTCTCTCTCTCTCTCTCTCTCTCTCTCTCTCGTGTTCCCACATCTCTGTGACCAGAATTCTAATAAAAAGACGAGCAACACTCTTGGAATCATGCTGTCATTGGGAATTCTGGTTGTCATATTTTTTTAGGGTTCCTCTTTCTTTCTTTCTTTCTTCTTCCTTTCTTGATCTATTATGGGCTCCTTACTATTTTCAGGAAGTCAACAGCATGCTATATTGCGGCATCTTTCTTGGGTAGAGAGAGAGAGAGAGAGAGAGAGAGAGAGGTATGAGCAATATCAGGATAGCTATGTGATCAGAGATTGGAAATAATGTGTTATAATCATGTCCTAGGATGAAAATAGGTCATCTTTCAACCCATTTGGGATATCTGAAGGAGATTCTACTTGACGGCGTAGAACTTGACTTGATCTCTGACTAGACTGATCATTCTAATACTACTATTTTTTTCTATAATTAGATAATTAATGATTTCCGGTTTTTATTAAAAAGATACGGGAAGGAAGTGTATTTTTAGAATCCAATCTTTGGCTATTTAGTTTCCACCCTGCAAACTGTCGTATTTAGGGATGAGCCATCAATTTTTGTGCGTAGGTCCCTGAAAACTATCCTGAAATCAGAAATGGGTCCTTGTCGTTAACCAAAGAGAATAATAATATCCAGAGAAATATTTTATCTCAAATTACAACAGCTGCCTTATATTTTATAAAATACAAAAAATACCACCCTCTTTGATCGCAGGGGTTTACATGGGACAGATAATATCACCAATCACCTTATGTTCTGATGATATATTCATTAAATAAATAATAAAAATATAAAAACCAGAAAAAAATAAAATTAGGAAAAAAAATAACCGGCTAATTTTAGAAATATGGGTCTTAGAGATATATTTACTTAAATTGATACTCTTTAATAGAGTCAAACCAAGTGTGAGATTATTTTGCCAACTTGGACTTCCTAGTCTAAATCTAAATTCCAACTTCCACGATCTTCAATAAATAAATAACCAATTTCATTTATTTAAAAAATATGAAAAAAATATTAGCATGAGAATTTTAGAAATATGGGTCTTATGTATATTTTTTTTATTTATATTGATACTCTAAAACGACTTAAATTGAGGAAATAAAAGTCAAACCAAGTGTGAGATTATTTTTGTCGACTTGGAATCCCAGCTCAATTCCATGATCTTAAATAATTATATATATATATATTATTTTAACCCATGAATATGAGAAATATGGTTCTTAGAGATATACATTTAAATTTATACTTTTAAATGGTTTAAACTGAGGAAGTTAAAGAAACCTAATGTGGGATTATTTTGCCATCATGGGCCAGCCCGTACTTCCACGATCTTCGGCGGGCCAGTTCCGCGCGTCATCAACGACGTCAGCAGAAGAGGTTCAAGTTTTTAAAATCTGGCCGGATTTCCGACCAGGTTCACTTCATTGGCTATTCCCTTCCCGATAGGGAGAGGGAGAGAGGATCCTGTGCTCCGCGGTGAGCGAGTGGCTAGCGCGCTTCACCTCCGTGGTGCTCCCATGGCCGCCCACCTTGGGCTGCCCAGTGTACGGTCAACGCTGACGAAACCGCCGGGGGAGCACCGCCAACAAATCGGGAGCGAAGTTCAGCCTCCGCTTCCTACTTGTGCTTCCCCAGGAGTCTCAGGCCATCTCCGACGGTCCAGAAGCGTGCTCCCGGCGGAGGCCGCAGAAGCCCGGTGGTGGCAATGGCGTTGGCGGCGGAGTAAGTAAACGTCCGCTTGATTTCGTCTGATCAGGCAGTGTTTCACAACATTTTTTTCGTCTGGTTTTTCGAATTACCAGGGGCTAGCTCCATTGCGCTGATATTGCACGTCTTTCCTGTTTGATGATGTTCTTGTCTCAGGGGCGTGAATGAGGTCTTGCCTCCGAGTTTGGATTCCACTGCCGACCCACCTGCGCTGTTCGATGGGACAACCAGGTATGGGGGACCCCTTTTGTTTTCTCTTAATCTCCTTTTTCTCATTTCATCTTGTTTAGATATTTATCCATGTGATATTCTCCATATGAGGGGGAATGAACAGAGATCCTGGCTGTAATCTGTCAGTGTAATATGCAATAGCCATGTCTAATGATCATATTATTCCATTTCCCTGAGGGCCAGGATCTGAATATCGCGTCATGATATTGATCTCATCAGCCAGTACTAAGTTGCCATTGTCGACCACAACCTCCAATATCTTTCTGCTTTAGGAATGATTTGAATTTATCTTACAGCATGCAAAAGCATGAAAGATTATTTATTAGGCCCACGATTTCTGTTTCTGGAACGGGTTCTCTGTGTTGTAGGCTCGATTGATCGATCGTTGACTGATCCATTTTTTTCTCCTTTTATCTGAAGGCTGTACATTTCTTACATTTGCCCATTTGCACAACGCACGTGGATTGCCAGGAATTACAAGGTAATCTTCGACATGTCATGTCTGATATTTCTACGCGCCTTCCTTCATAGAGTAACTTAGTAACTTAGCATCTTTGCTATGCTGGCATGGACCCCCTTGTGAGAGCAGGGGCTGCAGGAAAAGATACAGCTGGTCGCCATTGCTCTGCAGAACAGGCCCGCTTGGTACAAGGAGAAGGTTTACCCTGGCAACAAGGTGAGAGCATGTGAACTTTGTAGTTTTCTACCAGTTTTCATCTTGTAGGATGCGAGAAATTCCTGTAATTTATTATATGTAAACAGTGCAGATTTTTTATTTTTTTCCCCGTTGACTTTTTCTTCTTGTTTTTATCTCTAAAGTGCTTTCAGGAACTTTTTTGTCATTCCTGCAAATATTTTCAGATTCAGTTTGGGAATTATTTAATCCCAATGGTGCTGGTATTTAATGGTTTAATCTCCACAGGTCCCATCTTTGGAGCACAATAATAAAGTCACAGGCGAGAGTCTTGATCTGCTCAAGTATATCGAAGCCCATTTTGATGGCCCTTCACTACTCCCAGAGGTATGAGGGATCTGAATTATCTTTTTCGAGTTCTAAGAGTGTGTGTGTGTGTGTGACCCATGTTTTTGGAACATGTAGGACTCGGAGAAACAGCAGTTTGCCGAGGAGCTGCTTTCATACAGTGACGAGTTCAACTCGGCTTCTTTCAAGGGATTCGGCTCTAGTGGAGATTTGGGGAAGGAAATTGGTGAGATGAGTTGCAATGTTTGCGCTCTTCTCGAGGCCTCTTTGGCTAATTCGCTAGATAATCACTGGCATTCCTACCTGCATCAGGGCCTGGTTATGACAAGCTAGAAGAGGCGCTCTCAAAGTTTGATGATGGACCTTTTTTCCTCGGCCAATTCAGTCTGGTAAGAAATCAGACCTAGGCGAAAAAAATATGCTTTCAACTCGCATAGATTTTTCATAAGAAAAAAATGTTTATTTTATTCTATCATGTCGATGTTTTGACTACAATATTGACCATAAATTTGGTAAATTTACGAAATTTAGTACAGCTGAAGGAAGAGCAAGTGTCTTTTTTTTATCATATGTGGGTTTGCAGATCGATCAATGAAACAATTGCTATTAGTGGATATGGCCATAATCTGGATGCCATTTTTCTTGACAATGTCCACCATCTTTAAGACCCACCCATGAATGCTCTCAGTAAAGTATCCATCATGAACTCGTATACTCATTGCTCTGGTGGAGTAAAGTTTGCTTGTAGATCCCAATGAAGAATCCAAATGTTTCGGGCTAATCGCCTTGCAGGGTGCAGATCTAATGAAGTACTGAGTGTTCATGGACATCTTAAAGAAGTAACCTTGTCAAAAGGTATTATGAGGAGTATTAGAGGTGGAAGCCCTGGTATTAGGATGCAGATGTGCCTTTAGCGATGTTAACCTGTCTGATATGAGCAGGGAAAGTGGGATTCTTTCTTAATTATCTTAGAGAGATGTTTCTGAGGACATTTTTCATATTTTAACCCAGGATTCCTTGTTATATCCTACTTGGGCTGTTTTCTCATGTGCCAAAGTAGATTAAATATCTTATTTATCTTATTTATCCTAAAAGTATCTATCATGCAGGTGGATATAGCATATGCTCCGTTCATCGAACGGTTCCAACCTTTCTTTGCCGAAGTAAAAAACTATGACATCACTAAAGGAAGGCCAAAGCTCACATTGTGGATTGAGGTGAGAGAAATCTCGATATTCTTGAACGTATTATGCATAAAAAATTATTGTTTTTTAAAAAAAAATCTGGGAAGCTCCTTTTTTTAATCATTTTTTATCCTTTTTTTAATCCTTTTTTTGTGTGTATATCCAAGTACAAAAACCTGATAGAATGTCTGATCAGATGTGTTGATGTTTCATATGCTTTCACCATTATTAATGGATTGCTGGTGACATTTTCCTAAAAATATCATTCATGCAGGAGCTGAACAAGCTTGAGCCCTACAAGCAGACCAAGCAAGATCCTCAAGAGCTGCTTGGAGCGATCAAGAAGAGATATGGGGTAATGTCATGTTATTTGATGATTCACAACACGTTTATGGATGTTGAACAGCATGAACTCATCCCACTTTTTAAATTCATTTATCTTCTTACTAATTGCTTGCAGATTGCTTGAAGATGGATTGCAGCAGGGAAGAATTGGCCAGTAAATGCATCTTGGGGGTGCAGAACCATAGCTTTGTTAGAAATAATGCACCCTTTTGTGGTCATTGTACCTTAGATTTGTGTATTTAATCCGGAACTGATGGATTCTTGATGCAGGATGGGCTTGTAAACCCGCCCAGACAACTAAATGTGGGTGAGTTAACAAGGGACAGGAACCCTATACGCCACGAGTAATGCTAACCAGGGACTCTAGATGATGAATGCCGAACTCACTAAGTGCAGGTGATAACCGAAGTGCCGTGACGCCGACGAACCTGCGTGTCTGGGTGTTGCCAAGCGATGTTGATGCAGGGTGATCCTCCAAGTCCACGTCCGAAAGGCGAGGGCTTAGTATCGTCGACGTGACTCCGCTGCAAGTGCTCGACGTCCAACGTGACAATTCTGGCGCGCACGACAGAGTCGCATGGTGGAACCTCCTATTCCGTTTTAACCTAGCTAGGTCCGATGGCAGTGGAGCAGGACGTAGTAAATGACTCGGTGGAAAAAGGGGATAAGAGCTAACCTGCAGGGCTGAGGTCCGGTTGGTGTGTGCGACGGGGCGCACAGCTGACACCGTGGACAGGCGTTCCGGTGGGCTTGGTGCTCTCTAGGGGAAGCAAGTCGTCGATCTCAGGTGGGCGTTGGCTGGGGGTGTTCGGCTAGGCTCAGCCATATGGGTTCGGATGGGATCTGGAGGAAGGGGCATGACCAGGTGGCAGGGGTGCTCAGGTTAGCACCCTTGGTCAAGTGCAAGGGCGAGCCCCGAGGGGCAGGCGCAGTGGCGCGCGGCCGGGTGCGAGGTACGCGCGGCTGGCGGGCTCGCGCGGCAGGCGGACGTGCGTGGCTGGCACGCTGGCGGCGGCGCGACGGGCTGCTGACGGTCCAGTAGCAGCGGCTGCGACCTGGAAGCACTTCCCCTTCCTCTCTTATCCTATCCGAACGAGATTTTTTTCAACCAAAACACGCTCTCCTTAAGATGACGGCTCTGTCTCTTGGGGGTGGCTCTCCACCCGTAATATGGGGCCCCAAATGGGCCAAGGGTAGAGGGCCACGCTTGAGGCCCAAGACGCCAAAGCCCCAAAAAGGAACACACATAGAGTCCAAAATGGGCCCTCCTATCTAATTGGGCCCCAACGAGAATGGCCCAGAAAAGAAGAGAGGCGAGGAAAGGAAGGACGCCCTCTTCTCCAATTGGGCCCAAACATGTATGGCCCGAGAGGAGAAGAGAGGAAAGAAAAGAAAACAAAGGGAAATGGGCCTTCACATCCCCGCCATGGGCCCAACACGGACCCTACGGATGGGAGGCCCCCACACGGAGCAGAACTAGAACTCACACAGTTCATGGACGAGGGAAACAAGCAAGGGAAACATAAGACGTGGAAAACATAAAGACACCTCAGGCAGTATAGTGGAACCCAGGGTCCTTCATCTTCTCTCGTGCTCCTCAATCCAGCTGGACATGTGAGGGCAGGGTCTCCTCTGTAGCCTCAAGTTCGTGGAAAGGGGGAGACATGTCCCGTTTGCCACCAATTCTGATCCAATGCTTCTACTTGCATTCCTTTCCCATGTGGGCAGCCTCTCTCTCTCTCTCTCTCTCTCTCTCTCTCCCCTCCCCCTCCTCCACATTAGAGCCCATTTTTTTATTATTTGCTCAGCAAATGAGTGTGCCATACAAGACATATCTGCACTTGAGTTAACCTAGGAATGGGTCAAATCTAGCCTGAAGCCACTAACACCTTGTAGACAAGACGGTTTGATCAAAGTATGAATGGTTTGCATTGAACATAAATAGTCTAAACTTAATTAGAAAAATAGTAAAAAGTGATTGATGTGACTTAGTCGTTGTATAATAATCAAACAAATTTAAAATTTATAAAACTAAAAAAATACTATTTTTTGGATATTTAGAAGTATTTTTAAATATATATATATATATTAATTATAATTTAATAAAAGTTTCAAAAATAGTAGTAATTTTTCAAGTCATATATGTAATATAATATATGGTAATATTTCAAAATTTTCTACAAATAATACAAACAATATGAATTTTAGACTAAGAAATAAAAATAAAATATATTTAAAATTTATAAAAAAGATAAATAAGTAATGCAAATGTCAAGATAATGTCAGTGTCACAACGAATGTGAATCGGGTAGAAATAAAATTTTACCTGATGATTCTTACGTAAGTGATTACATACGATTTAATTAGTCAAATTAATATTTTTTTAAATCAAAAGAATCTTAATTGAATGAAGAATAATTTAGAAAGTGGACATGGCACAAATTATCACTAAATAAAGTAAAAATTAGTTCAAAACACAAAAGGCAGAGTTCCGACCTTGCGATAGTAATCACTGAAATTTTGTGTGTTTGAGAGGGTCATCAAATGATGTCCACAACCTCAAAGATTCTCTTTAGACATAGATGACTTGGGCATTAACTAGAAGTCTAAAAAATGATGACAGAAGTTAAATTAGTTAAAAAATTATAAAATAGAGTTCCAACATCACGACGGCGATGCATCAGTGATGCGTCAGAATCTTGAGTGTTCGGGAGGATTATTGTGCAATGTCTATGACCTCAAAGGCTAGATCTTCTTGCAAAGTCTAGAGATTAATAAAATGGGTCATTGAATCGTCTCTTATGGCTGTCATTCGATGGACTATCATGTGACTATCACTTGATAGAGATGAGTTGGATGGAAGTGAAATGCATGTCAAAGAGTTTCATCCTCAAGTTCATGCAGTAAGAAGAGATTCTTCATCGCATTTTGTACGCTCTTAGGAAGTGATGACTCATCTCTCGACAAATCATCCTCTTTCCAACGACAACTTATTCGTCAATCAATCAGAGATGATTTACTTGATAGATTCGTGATCTTTTTATCGTGAATCATTTAACAATTTTAGTAATGATGCTCCGTAAATCGTATTTATGAGATTTTTTTCAATGATTGAGTAATTCTAACAATATAATCCTTTATCGTTGATTTATAAGAAAATTATAATTTAATAAAAAAAAAAAATATATTGAATACTCTTATACAGTGACTCATCACGATATCTTGTTGTTATAAATAAGAGGCATTTTAGACATCTTGACTATTTTTATGATGATAAAGGGTATTATGATAATATTATAATAATAGAATCATGTTTACCATTGTGTATAAATCATAGTGGATTAACTCAAATATCAAGGCAAACGAAATTAGCTCAAAATCAAAATAATTTGTAAATAAACTTCAAATGATTAAATAATTTTTTAGATGCATGATTTCATCTCAAGTGTAGATGTGTGTATTTGTTAGAACAATGTTTGAAGGATGAACCTAATACAACATACCAAAAAAAATATTCAAAAAAATTTAATTTTAATGATTTTCAATAGAAATTTTATCAAGATAAATTTTAGGTGCTGATTTGACAAAAAAATTAATTCTAGCTATTTGTTTAGATGTCTCACTTTAGCCAAAATATGAAAAAGAAGAAGAAAAACTAGGTGAGAAAGCCACCACTTCTTTTAGGCATAATAGTAATTTTATGGTTATGTATAAACATTAAATTATTACAAAATATGATACATTAGCCCTTGGTAAAAACACCTCATATGAGTATTTGGGGCCAATTATATGTCAAATTTGGGCTTTATTTAGTTTAAGGATGGTAAGTCAACTTAATCTATACAAAGAAAGAGATTTATGTTAATAATAAGCTTGGGAAAATACAAAATAGTGTAGCACTCATGAAATAGCTGTTGGATCTATTTTGGCTATTTTCTATATTATTATTTTAAAAAATATATATAGAATGTTAATTTCACAGCCAAGAAGGAATAATAACAATGATATCAAATTAGGGTACCTATTAATAGTATTCTAGTAGACTTAGCGCCATGAACAAAGAATTAAGTTTTATTTTTTTATAATATTTCAACAATTTAGTGGTACGAATTTTATTTCATTTTGGATAGTAATTTGAGCTCAAGCCCACTCATGGTTATTCTTTAATCTTTATTCTAATAATGAACTAGTGAAAAGTCAACTATGCCCTGTGTGCTAAATAGTTTTTGTTTTTGACGATTTTATGTCTGACCAAATTGAGTTGACCCATGAGTCAACCCTCCTATCTATAGGCTAGTACCTAATTAAAATTCATCTTTTAAACCGGTAGAATTCAGAAAAAAAAAGATAATCTTGATAAAACAGTCTTTTATCATTTGCAAAAGTCAACCAAAGTGTCAATGACTTTGTATGGTTCATATTCTTGTTCTTGATCTTCCCACTTTTATGGATTTAACAAGGAATTTTCTCATATTTAACCACTGAAACAAAGATGAGGACCGGTAAATAATTTAAATTATTTCAGGTCAGATAAATTTGAAAAATATTGATCCACATATAACTTAAAATTAGCTTTTAATTGCATCTTGGTATGCTACTCCGTCTCTCCCATTCCATTGTCATGCGTTCAGCCAATAGTGATGCGCCACGTTGAGTCATCATCGTCTTCCCCAGATCTATTGTACCATACATACTACTACTACTACAGACGATGATGGCAGGTGAGGAAGACGGGGGATCCAGAAAGAAGAATTTCTCCGGCCAAGCTGACGGCGGCAGAAGCGAACTGACCGCTGGATCGGATCTGCGGCCGCCGGCGAGGGGGTGTCCTTCTTCAGTGCGCCCCCCGTTGCTTCCCTTGCTCTCTGTAGAGCCCCCATTCTGCGGCTGGATCTCGTCTGGCGGCATTTTCCGTTTCTAGGGTTGCTGCTGTTGCTCTGCTCTTGATCTGTACCGATCTGCAGCTTGCTCCGTGGATCTGTACTCCTCTGAGCTGCGAACTCATCCCATGGAGGTCCACCTGCGGGATCTCTTCACCAGGTTCCAGGAGCAGTTCGGGACGGGGCCGGGGTTGGGGCCCAGCCATGGTACCTGCGTTTTCAAGGTGGACGGCGCGCCGCCGGCCTTCATCAGGTCTCTCTTCCGCGCCGCCGCCGCCCTCTTCCGCACCGATCCATGGAAGCGCCTTCGCCCCGGCCACCTGCTCGGCGTCCGCGTCGGCAAGGACGCGGACTGGTCCCCCGCCAAGCGCCAGCCCTTCCCCTCCGTGCAGTTCGTCGGCGGCGACGGCGGCGACCTCGCCGTCCACCTCTTCCGCTCCGAGCAGGACGCTCTGCGCACCACCGCCGCCAGGGAGACCCGCCGCGTCCCCAATGTGGAGATCCTGAGGGTTGTCTTCCTCCCCGAGCAGCTTCTGTCCCCCTCCAACCGGCGGATGGTCAGATCCCTCTCTCTGGAGCCCGTGGGGCCCGAGGAGAGATTCCCGGTGATTGATGTCGCTCGCTTCACCCCCGCCAGCGGCGTCCGCTTCCGGAATCCCTCTCTGGATGAGCTCCGCTTCCTCTACGCCTTCCTCAAGGCCGTGGCCCTGGTTCATCCCTTGCTCCACACCAGCGACGAGCTCCCCAGGCGGGGGAGGTTGCAGTGTTTCGATCCCTTCATCGAGACTGTGGATGTGGACTGGCCACCGGAGGTGTCCAGGGGTTGGAACAACGTCGCCGTCACCTTGTCACACCCTCCTGGGGAGACCTACGACGAGAGGAAGCCCAGCCTCAGTCCGACGAGGTATCTGGATCCCCCGCGGGAGGAGCTGCCGGAGCTGGAGACGAAGGCGGCGCCGCCGCCGCCGAGGACCGGGCTCAGGCAGTGCGCTATGTGCGAGAAGGAAGTCCAGGGGGAGCAGTCCCTCTGCTGCGGGCGGTGCCGGGCGGTGGTCTACTGCAGCTCCGGGTGTCAGCGGCAGCATTGGAAGGAGAGCCACCGGAGCATCTGCGGCCTCTACAAGGCCATGATGGAGAGGGAGGAGGAGCTCGCCATGAACATCTTCTTCTTCTCCTGCCTGCTCGACCACCCCTGCAGATGGCTCGACTCGGTGGGTGTCCACCAGAAGGGAATGTGGAGGAGGATCTGCAGTTGCTACTCCCACTGCCCCTTCGGCCTCCTCCCTGCAAGGACCGGCGGCCATGGCGAATCCTGGGGAGGCCTCAACGACGGAGAATTCCCCCCCGATGCACCATTCGCCGCCTACCATGAAGGAGCACCGAGCATCATTCTTCTCTCCGGCTGGCCTGAGTACTACAACCTCCGCTCCCTCCCGATGACCAGCCCGGCAGTGGTGATCCTGTCCCACCCGCTGACAGTCTACCACACCATCACCGCCGTGGCGATCAATTGCAAGAACAAGCTGGTGAAGGGCAGGAAGGTGATCGTCCACTACCTCGGCCCAGAAGGGGAGCTGGACTGGTTGCCGGCATTTACAGAGATCGGCCATCTGCTCAATGGGTCCGGCAGCGTGGAGATCTTCATGGTGGGACCGGAGGTTCCCGGCAACCTCTCTGGCACTGCAACCAGTCTGAGCGGCGGCAGGGTGAAGGTCACCCTCGTGAGAGGGCTCTACCAGGAGGAATTCCCATCCCTCCCACCCGCCGATGTGGCAGTGGCGCTCAACTGCAGGCTGGAGAGCTATGGTGGCTGGGGAGAAGCTGTAGAGACCATCAAGTCCCTGGATGCGCCGGCCTTCTTCACCGACCGGTCGGAGGTCGCCTGCGCCGCTGCCAAGCAGATCCTCCGTGCTGCTGGTCTCCACATCACGCACCCGGTGACTCCCAATCCCTTCCGCTCACCGGTGAGGGACAGGGCCCCCTCCGACAATCTCCCCAGCTTCAGCAATGGCTTTATCTTTGGGGTGAACACCTGAGAGATGGGGGCGAGGGAGCATATGATCGAGAGAATCAGAGGAACCTGCTTGCAGTTTATTTATCATGAGAGAATCAGATCTCTCTTCAAAACCAGTGAATCTCTTCTTCTCTAGCTGTAGACGAATCTGGTACTTTGGAGCTCCGATTTTCCCCACACAATTCATCAACTACAAGCATCGGAAAAATGGGCAATCATCCAGACTTAGCCTCAGTTCACCAACTATGCTTACATATTTCACATGTTTCCCCACCTCTTTCTGTAAAAAGTATGCTTCTTGGATTGCCATGGCATTATCCAGTGCAATGACCCAGATGGGTTCCCACCATGAGTTCCCAATTTCCAGGAACTGGCCAGCTTCAAAGCTCAACATCCAGCTGAGAACGAAGCAATTCAGAGACAATCACCAACTGTCGCCGCAGCTGCAGACTCCACCGGCGAAGTGATGGTAGAGGCAGCCGTCCCTTACGAGCACTTCCCGGCCGCCGATCCTGGAGATGAACTTGGCTGACGTGTGGCAGTCGATGCACATCCGCACATTCTTCGACACCCGAACGGGGCAACCAGCAGGCAGAGAAATCAAGCCATAGCAGATTGCGAGCTTCTCGGTGTGGAAGCAGGAGAAGGGATCCGTCTCCTCCTTAACAAGGCAAGGATCTTGTGGGAAATACCCCAACCTTTCCATTTCCAGCGCCAATCTGTCCCACTCCTCCAGAATCCTCTCAATCTCAGGATGCGGCCTCCCCCCTGCTTCAAAGGCATGAGCTTTGTGGCGCAGATTTACCCAGCTGCAGGTGGCGGGCGGCTTCAACCCACGGGATCTCATGACAAGTCTCACATCCATGGCCGAATCCCACATGCCCACTGCTGTGTAGATATTGGAGAGGATGATGTAATTGGAAGCATTTCTAGGCTCCAATTCAAAGAGGGCTGCGGCGGCTTCCTGCCCGATTTCATGGTCGGAATGTGCCCGGCAGGCGCGAAGGAGGGCGGCCCAGATGCAGGCGTCGGGTTCGAACGGCATCCTTCGTATGAAATTCAGCGCTTCCTCCAGTAGCCCGGCTCCACCCATGATGCCCACCATGCAAGTGAAGTGCTCCAACTCTGGCTTCACGCCGTAGATTTCCTCCATCGAATTGAAGTACTTCCACCCCACCTCCATGAAACCCTCCTGCCGACAGGCCGAGAGGATCGAAGTGAATGTGAATCGATCAGGGCTCATCCCTGACTGATACATCTCCTTAAACAGGGCTATTGAATCTTCGGCCATCCCATGCAGAGAATACCCTGAGATCATCGTGTTCCATGCGGCCAAATCCTTTTCGCTTGTAGAATCAAATACCAGTCTTGCCTCCTGGATGCTTCCACATTTGGCATACATGTCTATCAAGGTGCTGTCAATACCGAAAAAGGAAGGATCGTGGAGCATACCCTTTACGGCATGCCCATGCAATGCTCTTCCCAGGGTGAGCGCCGCCATGGTGCTGCAGGCCCGGAGAAGGATCAGGAGTGTGACGGAGCTCGGCGCATGGCCTTTACGAAGCATCTGTGGAAATAGCTTCAGGGCGTTCGCTGGCTCCCCACTGGAGTTGTACCCGGCCATCATGGTGTTCCAGGTGACCGTGTTTCGCTCTCTAGCTCCACAGAACACTTTTACTGCATTGGCCATGTTCTCACACTTGGCATACATGTCGATCAGAGCAGCTGAGACAAATACATTCGATTCGAGGCTGTTCCTCAGTATGAACCCGTGGACTTCCATCCCATGATGCTGCACTTTCAAATCCGAGCACGCCGCAAGAACAGAGGTGACAGTGACGGCATTGAGCTTTATGGAAGAACCCAACATCTCAGAAGGGAAATCCTCAATGGCGGATGAATTCCTCGAGTGGGGCTCTCCCCGGCGCTGAAGAACTCGGAGCAATCCCAGCGCCTCTTTGCTCAATCCACGCTGCTGAAAGCCGGCGATGAGGGCATTGATGGACACAATGTTAGGCTTCAAATTCATCTTCCCCATCTCCGAGACCAGCCTGAAGGCCTCATCTTTCTTACCATTTCTGGCATAGGCGGCAAGAACAGTGTTGTATGTGATCACATCGGGCTTCAATCCATCCTCCGCCATTGCCTTCAGGAACTCCATAGCTTTCTCAAGCTCACCCTGGTTGGCCCACCCGGCGACCATCTCATTCCACACCGCCGCCGTCTTCTTCTCCATGGACGAGAACACCTGCTCTGCGTCCTTCCAATCGCCACACTTCATGTACATGTCGATCACGGCACCGTCGATGAAGACATTGCCGGAGAAGCCGTTCTTGATGGCGAAGGCGTGGAGGGCACGGCCGAGGCCGGGCAGTCTTAGGCCGGAGCAGGCGGGGAGGACGGCAGCAATGGTGACGGGGTTGGCGGCGCCGCCGTGGGATCGCAGGCCCATGAACACATCAATGGCGTCCTCAAAGCAGCCGCTCTGTGCGAAGCCTGAAAGGACCCCGTTCCAGGAGTTGGTGCAGGGCTCCACTCCGTCCTCTCTCATGGCCTCGAGCAGGCCCAGAGCGGCGCTGGTCTCCCCCTTCCTCGCGAAGCCTGAAATCAGAGCGTTCCAGGAGATCAAATCCGGCTTCACGCCCTCTGCTCTCATGGCAGAGAAGACTTCTGCGGCGTCCTCGAGCTGGCCTGCTGCTGTGTAGGCCATCAGCAGCGCTGTCCAGGAGACGACGTCCCTGTGCGGCATTTCGTCGAACATCTTCCGGGCAGAGGCGAGATCTCCACACTTTCCATACATGTCGATCATAGAGTTCCCCACGAATGCGTCCACCTGCAATTCCTGCCATCGCTTCAGCATGTACCCGTGAACGGCGGCGCCGCTGTTCAATCTCTCGAGCTCGGAGCAGGCCTTCAAGATCTTGGGGAGAAGGAATCTGTCGGGTTTCAGGTCTTCGCCCACCATGGAAGCAAACGCCGAAAGGGCATCTCGCCATTGCTGCGCCCGCACGAGGGACCCAATCAGAGAGGCGTACAGGGCCGCTGTTCTCACCGGAATTTCTTCAGCCCCCATGGAGTAACTGGGAGGAACCTCGGAGCAGAGAATGGGGAGGGAGATGACCCTGGACTTGAGGGCTTCTCCTCTGCTGCTGCTGCTGTTGAGGAGGGGGGAGAGCCGCTCGCCGTCGACGGATCGTCGGAGCTCCCGCTGCCATTGGGAGGCATGACCGGCGGCGCCGCCGCCGGAAGCTAATCCCCTGCGGCGCCGTCGGGAATGGAGGGTCTGGGCCGCTCTCGCGGAAGAGCGGGGGAGGGGATGGGCCGGTCTGAGCTTGAAAGCCTGGCGGGGCACGGGAGCCGAACAGGAAGACATCTTCTCTCATGAGATGAAAACGGGGATGGAAGGAGGAAGAGAGAGAGAGAGAGAGAGCTCCGATCTTCTGCACCAAGACGAAGAATGGAAGGCGGGCATTCCTAGCGCCGGTTGCTCAGAGGCGGCAACTGGGCCCCCCCAGAAACAGTGACACAGGCCTTCACCTTGGATTATATCCTTGTTTTTTTTTTTTTAGTTGCTTATCAAATACAATTTATTGCCTTGACAATTGAAAATCCCATCTCGTCCAAACACAAATCATACTTCAGATTTCTATTCTGAGATTAAAAATATTTTAAAAAGTGAAATAAAGATATTCTAGAGACTACTACAAACTTAAATTACTTTTATTACGTTAAAAATACTTTAAAATAACAAAAATAGAAAGTAAAAATAGTGTAAACTATTGATCAACATTTTCTTTCTAAAATTATAAAATATTATTTCTTAAATATCTATATGAAAAAATACCAAAGTAGTAGGGTAAAGGGGGGGGATTCATTATGGTGTTAATATTGTTTTCTCCTATGATAATGGGAATTGCTAACTCTTGGGGAATGACTAACTGGACAGGGAAATAGTGAAAAAGACACTAAGGTAAATAATTCAATTTTGTATTTATAGGCAATTTTCAAAATACATTCTAAAATCATTGACATATTTAGAAAGTTTGAAATTGATAATCTATGTGCTATGTTGTAACTTATATGGGAACATATAGTACCAATAGGGGGGTTGGATTGGTTTTGACTCTAATTTTGTTAGTTTTTTTGACTTAGAATGTTGATTATGACATTCACTTATATAATGCTATAGTAGTTTAGTCTACTTAATCTATTCTAATATCTAATAATTATGTCAATAGATTTTATTAAGTCATAAGAGAAATACACATGGAATTATAACTTCGATTGGTTGAACTAAATTCAATAGTTCTAGTTAATGTTTTGTTTGTTGGAATCAATTGACGAAGATGATGTAGCATTCTCATGTGTTGGTGATGCATGCAATAGGAGGAGCTTAATGTTTAGTCTTGAATCTTCATGGTAGTTTTCAATCTAGAAGCCTTCTCCCATAAGCAAGACTTTCAATTGTAACATTTGAAAGTCTTATTTAAAAATTTGTCAATTTTCAAATCTCATGCTAACAACCTTTAAACCTTCAAATATTTAAATCTCTTTTTTCTTGAGATCATATCCATTTAAATTTGAACAAGAGTTTCCTAACTTGTTGAAGAATAGTTGGATGTCCACCTTAGATCTAAATCATCAAGTTTTACTCAACATTTTCTCATTATAAGCAGTTGACGTGTCTTTGTTGAGATGCTCTCTTTGAACTTATTCTTTTTCTCATTTTTTTTTGATGATTTATTTCACATGATATCTTAGGGAACATGTTTAACATCATTTTGAAATATGGTTAGTAAAATATATAATCAAAGATAAGATTTTTCACATGATTTGCTTTGACTTGTATATATTTAATCATATATGTATCTTTTCACCTGGAGATAATTCTTCAACTGATTTTCTTTTATGCTCAATATTCATAAGGTAAAGAATCATTTAATCTTGCTGATTAATACTTTTGATTTGATTATTAGTAATATGATATCATAAAACTAATAATATAATTTATATAATAATATTAAGTGTATTAAGTGTATGAAACATATAAGTGATATATATATATATATAAGAAACCATCAATATTGAATAATCACTTATAAATAAATTATCACTTGTAATTATCAAAATCAAAGGCACCAATAGAGATGATTCTACTCACTAGTATAAAAAATAACAACATACACTAGTGGGTAGACATATTACTACAATTTGTCTTCATAATTTTGGAGGAGAGTCAACTCGTGGACAATTTTACCTTTTCCATGCCCTAAAAAAATGTGTCAACTACCTACTAGGAAAAGGTTTAATCATATTTATTACTTAAGTAAATGAGTTGAATCATCTATCAAGAACAAGCCTTAAAATTAAAGAGAGTGAGTACATGGCTAAAATGATAATTTCATATTAAGAAATATTAAAAAATATTTCTGACCCTTGATTTCATTAAAAAGGCTATAGTTTATTTTACCAAAACTTTATTAAATTTTTTAGAGCTAATTTTCTCAAGAGTTTTCATATTCTATGTTTTATAGTAGGAAGTGATTCAACTTAGAGTCTCCCAAATCATAATGCAAAAGGAAGAATATGACAATTGGCTATAGTACCCCAAAATTAATTGTTGGAGCATACAAGTAGCCACTAAGATGACCATCAATCTTACCACTAAAAATGTAAAAACCATGGGAAAACACTATATAAAGGTCAAATCCCCCTAGACCCCATGTGACGAAAAATCACTCTAAGAGCTCCATTACACATTCCATCTCAAGGATTCACATTCCATGATGAAATTTTTTGATCTTGTTTTGTATTTGAGTAATTATAGTACATAAGTTGACCTAGACCCATGTACAGAGAAGTCGTTAGTTGGGGATTAATTTAGTTGGCCCCTAAGAGCTGAGAATTTAGGAATACTTTGGGGATATACTTGTGTGGCTAGAGTTATAAATTTTTGATGTGATTCTATCTAAAGCTTTCATGTTCATATTATGCACTAATGGGAGTTAGCAGAACTTGAGGAAGTGATCATTGAACAACTATTATTCTCCATTACACATATTGACATGAAACCATAATTAATAGGAGAATAAAAGATGGCATGTTAGCCTACTCTCTTTTTTCCTCTTGTAGCCTCATCAAATCAATAGAGTCTAGTCTCACTTTTGATTCAAAGAAAGAGTAGACTCTAATAGTGTCCTTAGGCATATATTATTCTAAAATTGAGTTATTTTTATTCTATGTTTCTATCATATATGTCAATTTTGGAGGTTGATTTGATTCTTATACATCATATAACTCATGTCTTATGAATAATAATAGTGAGTACAAAACTTTTGGGATGGAGTTGTTAGGACTTTGATAGATATCCAACATGTCCCTAACTTAAAAATAGTATCATTTTTTTAAAAAGTAACATTGATAACATTATTGTTCTTATACTAATGTTCATTATATTTTGAAAGTAAAAAAGGATGGTTTAATTGATGACCCGAGAGAAAATCAGATCAATATATATATACATGGGTTAGTAAAACTATAATACTTGATGTAGCCATCACATCTTATCCTAATCATCATGATGTTGCTTATGTGCCTCACTAGACTCAATCATATGAGCAAGAAAGGAATGTTAGAACTGCCCCATCAAAAATTTCATGATCTTCTATTCTTGGCAAACAATATGAGAATCATAAGAGAATTAAGGAGATTACTTGATGTTCTTGGCATAAAATTCTACTTATACTAAGAGAATTAAGGAAATTCTCAACAATGTGCACTCAGGTGTCCGGAAGTGTATATGAACATTTATCAAGGAGAAGCATCATGTTTTGTTTCCTTTATTGATGACTTTATAAGAAAATATGAGTTCAATTTTCTAATCACAAGTTAGAGATGTTCGACAAATTTAGACAGTGTATGAGTAAATCTAAAAAAAAAAAAAAAAAAAAAACAGATTGATAGTAATGTGTTGTGCTTAGACTCACTTTTACCCATTTTGGCCAATTATTAATGTCCTCATTTGTCATGTTATTCCAGTCGGTTCCTATCTTGCCTACTATAGTAGTAGGGACTCAAAACATATTTAAAGCAAGGTGAAGGTTAAAAGTAAATAATTTTATAAGATAGGGATTTTTGAGAAATTTTTACCTTCTTCTTCAGTCAGGTCGAAGCTGTGGAGTAGAAGTCTGGTCTTTCGAGACAAGAGTGCGTGGGGACCGGGAGGAGGAAGCAGGGAGAAATGGCGAGCAAAGACAGCGGTACCCAAGGGAAGAGCCCTAAGAAGGTGAACCTATTGGATCAGAACGCCATCAAGAACCTTCTCGATGAATCCATCACCGAGGTAGGAGCAGAATTGGAGACCAGGAGAACCGCCGGATCTCTTATCTTCCGGTTGCCGGAGTTATATGGTCGATCTCGATATCATCTGAGAATTTTGTGCATTCTTTTGTTTGATATGTTTTCCCTTATTGCTTCTCGCGCGATCTAGATTGTGACCAGCAAAGGTTATCCGGAGGACGTGAGGACGAGTAACATGAGGCTGCTGATTGGAACGGTTATTATTGGCATCGCTCTGCTTGCCCAGTTCTACCCGAAGAAGTTTCCGGAGAATAAAGATTTTCTTTTTGTCTGCATTGGATTATATCCTTTCTCTTGTCTTGAAAATTTCTCATTCATGAGATTTCGTTTTCATTTCCTCTCCGTGGAAATCGCATTGAATGGGAGCCGCATTTTTATTCATGCTATCCTTGACTTATGTCTCGCAAGTATGTCGTTTTAAGCGCGCTGTTGCAGGTCATCACCTACACGAAAGAGAAGAACGCCATTCTTTTCACCCATCCTCCTCCTGTGAGTTTCCATTACATTTTAGCTTGGATGGCCTTTTCTCTACTGAAGTTTTCAATCATTGAAATAGTTAATGGTGCCATGAGTAATTTATTGCTGTATCTTTCTGTTCGTAGATTGCTGATGATAGTTACCATTTCTTTCAATTTGATCGGGCTTTCTGTATACTATATCACTCTATGCATAATATATTACATTCTTTTTTGAGGAATTTGCATACTGTATTACACTCTCTTCTGCTGAAGCACACCTTTTCTGGTACTTTAGTTAAGCAGTACAACTGTCTTCATGCGATCGTGGTTCCCAGGGCGAGTGGATTTTCATGTCACGACACAACACTGAGTCCAGTGGTCTGCCTGACGCCATCATGGTACAATGTGGGGAACCGTCAAAGGCCGTGGAACCTTCCATAAAAACCAATTTCGATTGAAAATTTGTTTCCTTGGTGTTATTGGTTGTCTCCTAGATGAGAAAAATAGTTCTTATGACTTTTTATCAAAGTAGCCCGAATATTTACTTTTATGGGTCATTGCCTGTACGAGTTTTCGTTTTATGTTAGGTGGTTTTTCATGCTTAGTGTGCTCATGTGCATGTGAAACAGCATCTACTTGACTGCTTTTACAGATAGGGAAGTAGGTGTATACTTTCAGTAGGGTGTGGGTGATCGAAAAGCTGAATCCTGATATTTGCACAATTTTAGTTGTCTTTCTGTCTTTTCTAATCACAGAACATCAATTTTTTCACTTTTTTTACTATTTCCAAAAAGTAGTTCACTCTAGTATGAGCCTGTGGATTATCAATTTTACTATTCTCATCTGGAGATGCTGTATCCCTCTAGAAGTAGGGCAACAGTTATTGGTTCGTAAAGTACAGCATTTGTCTATCTACTTCTGCTTCTTTTTCTTCTCCTCCTCTTCCTCTCTTCATTTTTTTGTTTTTTCTTCTTTTATGCCAAAGTAAACAGTTTCAGCCGAGGTTGGTACTGGATCCAAAAATGGTCAGGGTTGATTCAGTTCCAGAATCTAATTTCTTAAACATTTTATTGAAGTCTATATTATTTAATTTGGATAATAGTTTTGTACTTTTTGATTTGACCTAATTGTATTATGAGTGGTTCTTGGTTCTGTGTCATTATGTGAGTGTTGTTTACACGGGAGGTATCCTATGATTCCAGCATTGGTACCTTCAAAAATGTACATATGACAGATAGGCTCTCGAATAACTATCAGATTTTAAGATGAACAACATTTCGAGGAAAAACGTGACATTCGTAATTTTTATCAAAATTTTAGGTGAATGGTTTCCTGTCATCGTGTTTCTGCCAAATACTTCAAATAGTATTTTTCCATGTGTGGAAACTTAACTCATTTGCACAGTCTTTATGTAACTTTTGAAGTATACAGAAGAAAAGTGGGAAGGAATACAGCTACCTTATTGTGAGGACCTTAAGGGAATATGTAGAGGGTGGTCGAAGATGGCATTTTTTTAGATATTGGAGGAGTTTTTTTGCTTCCTGTTGCCAAATGTGTTGTTCATGCTTTAAAAGATATTCACTTAAAAGGCAAAATGCAGGCCTTATCTTGAATATTTTTCTTGTCAAAGAGAGTGAAAAATCTTGAAGAGGAGCATAGTCCCCTTGGGCTGAACTACATTTTTAGCATCCTAATGATTTATCATTAAGATGTGGAATGCAATCTGTACCTGTATGGTACGAGTTTTCGATTCTGATAAATGTCTAGTTTCTTGGAATTCATTAATTGTGAACTGGTGATTCTTCTCTTTCTTGTGGCTTTGCTGGTTTAGTTTTAAAGATTGTAACATTGTTAAGTATGGGTGGGAATGCTTATTTAACATATTAACGTCCATAGTACTTCATGGGTTTGTCAATTTTTATTTCACTCTTGTTCTAATGTATTCAATTGGAGGATGGACGAGTTTCATCTTCTAGACAATGAGTTATTGTCCCCTTTCACACTTAATATCATTTACGTTCCTCTGACCAATTGCAATTTTGCATCTGCATGCCTCCAGACAATACAGTGCTCGTAAGTTGTCTATGTGGTTTATTTATTAAATTGTTGCAACATGTTCTCCCATATGAATGCTCTGTGGTAGTCTTGAAATGTTATTTGTGAAATTGTTGTCGTGTTTCTTAGGGTTCTTTTCACACCACTGGGCTTATTGTATCGTCAAAGCTGCCAAGGTTTTCAGACATGCTTACCCTGACTGTAGCAAGTGCGGATCCCAAATCTGTTGCTTCAAATAAACCAGTTCAACTCACAAAGAGCGTTACAGAATGGTTAGTGTTCTATTATATGTGATTTTTGATTTGTGATTGACAGACTGCCAACATTTTATGTTTGGAAAAATTTCAGAGTTGAACATGTAGTTGAAGGATTTCAAGAGTTGTCAGAGTACCTTAGAATTGACCAATGTTGGGTGGGTCAACTGATTATATGGGCTAGAATCGGCCCAGAATTCTCCCATACAAGGTCAACTCATATTTGCAGATCCTGGCTAAAACAAGGAGAGAAGCCCAGTATATAATTAAATGGCTGCTAAGGGTTGTCCACTGGGTCGATCCAATCTTCATTCAGATCTGACCCATCCACCCTGTTGACCATAATCTACGTATCTTTGCTCATATTAACATATGTGTTCATCATTAGAGAGTAGCCATAGCAAGCTCTTCATTTACGTTTCAATCACCTCTCTCACCCTTTCTGCGATGCTCTTAGAACTGACTATCACTTCACATAATTGCATCTTCTCAGCGGCTCACATCTGCTTGTTCTTCAGGTTCACCAAGGAGGGGATTCTCGTGGAAGGTCTCTTCTCAAAGGACGTGGAGAGACTGATTGACGACTATGCCGCAGACAGAAAGCGCAAGTAGTTCTCCGTTGACTTCTGAATGCCCTTTTCAGAGCACTGTCAAGTGGACTCTTCTGAGTGATCTTCACTGCTGCCCCAGTCGGAACCTCAAGGCTTGTTTAAGCATTCATAGGCCCTCAAATCTCAACACTGCAAGATTTACTTTCACATCAACCGTATAGGCTTGATAATTTGTTCAACTGATCAAGAAACTGACCGCACAGGTGTTGATCTCAAGCAGCTTTTTTTTTTAAATTTAATAATTATATTTTTTATTTGAGCTAGTTTGATGATTAGATCCGTCTGGGCCATGTTTTGTATCTTTTGGTAAAATTTTAAGCTTAAAAAAAAAAAAAAACTTTTTCTGGCCCCCCTGATTTTCTTGTATGATCCTTTAACCCTCTTCTTATGAGACTAATTTAGGGACTGCTTTAGGATTATCGTTGGACAAGCCAGCCTAGCGCAGGTTGGTTGGTGCCCCTGCAATAGTTCTATGATTATTAATAATGAATGCTAAATCTTCGATGAAAAATTATATTTTTAATATTAAATGGTTTACTAATTTTTGATATATTTTTATTTCCAAGTCCACACAAAGCTATGGAATGATGAATGAGCCCTGATATATTTGTGTTGGTTTATGTCATTTGAAATTATGGTTTGGTGATTTTTAAGGCTTGTAATCATACATTAGTGTTAGAAGAGGGCGAATGTTAGCAAAGTATTCCAGTTATGCATTATGTTTGGGTTATGTAGGCATGTCCCTATACACAATAATGTCTTTACCATGGTACAAGTAAATGTGCTTATTTAATGGATAATAATAAATCTTTACACAAGTCTTCATGATAATGCCATCACCTTTTATAGGAATAATATATCTAAAGATATGTCAATTAAAGGTGCATAATGTATTTCATGAATGTGTTTTTTTAAAAAATAATTAAGGGGTTTCATGAATTTGTTTCAAATCATATTTGATTATATAACATGAATCTTAAAATCGGTGATTAATTTTTGTCAATATCCTTATAAAATCATAAGATAAGAGACAAGTATATGTAAAATAGAGCATGGATTATAGAAATCATACAAATAACGTTCTCATATCTACAAGGCTTCTATTCATAATTGTACGGAAAGTATGCTCAAGAATACCATTGATCAGCTTCTTTTTACCATATATTTCTTAGACATTTTGGTTCAATTGTGGCTCTAGTTATTGAATGTGCTAAATAAAGGAAAATTACTTGGAATGATAATTTAAGAGGCCTTGCTTGCAAGTTTCTACCATAAAAGCTTATTGAAGCAAAAAGACATTGGTCAATACCTAAATTAGAATGATATCTTAAGGTGAGAACCTTACAAATATGAGAGCAATATCTTATTTGACATGAATTTGTATTATTTACTAATACCAAACATGACTGAAGGATGAGTTACCTTTCATAGTGAGGGATGAGTTACTAATATCAAATATGAGACCTATGCCTAGTTACCTTTCATAGTAAAAATAAATAAATTTCTCTTCAAAAGATTTTTTGCAAGACTAATAAACTTGAGTGAGGGATGAGTTAAATCAACAAGAGGATTTCATGTATAAGAAGAGTTTTTTTTTATCATGTGGAAATCAACTATGTATTCTCAAAATGTTATGTCATGAAAAATAAATTATCATTGCATGAACAAGTAGGAAGACCTTTGGGTTGCAATAAAAGTCAACTAGTGGAGGAACACTATTATTGACATAAATTGATGAGAAACATAAAAAATCATGTACAAAAATGGTAGTAGAAAATACTGCCAAAAGATAGCTTTCTCTATGAAGTAGTGTGAGTTGCCTTTGACTTTGGCACAATTGAATATAATTTCATGATCAATCACTCTATAAAACTAGATTCTTTCTTAATTATTTACTATTTTCATCCAATGTTTCCTTTGAATTTGGTACATTTACCAAAAAATTGATGGACAGATATTGCATGCAGCCAATAAGATAACAAGTCACAGACAAATATTTCATGAAAAGCGAGAAGCATCATCTTTCTTAAGCTTAGAAAAACTATGAGGTTATACTAGACAAGAAGAAACAAAATGAATGATTTAAAATATGTTACTTGCAGCTATACGATGTAAATTAATTATTTTATACAGAACCAATGAAAAAAATTATATCATTTATTTACCACACACATAGCCATAGCTTCAACTTTTCATATGATTGATTTTTATGATTGCCATTCACAATAGAATGAAGACTCAAAGGGGAAGCTATTTTCAAGGAAGAAAGATTAATGTACAACACAAAAACAAATAAGAGAGGCCTATAAATTGAAGAGTATGAAAAATATGAAAGCATATATTAAGAAGGTTTGAATGCCCAAGATACTTCCAAGACCAAAATCTAACATAGAAGGCCTAAAATAATTTCTTTTAATCTTGTAGGATTGATGATTGTTTTTCTTTTAATTAAGTTATTTACTATTTTTATGTGATATTATTTTTCAAAAAAGTAATAATTGATATAGTTAAAGGCTCATTAATTGTAGCATTATGTTTCTTTCTACTTATGGATTTCAGCAATCATTGTGGATTGGAGAGAAGATTAAGATTATTTGACAATGATTAAGACAAATAATTAATTATATGAATTTTTAAAAAAATAATTGAAATAAGTTTGCATCTATATTTATTTATCACTCACCCTTTTGGAAAACCCTTGTGCATGTGCCTAGAAATACATGTCTTCTAACAATCTACTTTTATATTCCATAAATCTACGTTAATCTATATCTTGGCGACTTAAATTTCTGATATCTCATTATCTTTCATTTCATAGGATATGAATCACATAATATAATTAATTAAAATACAATATCAATATAATTCAACATTCTTGTGAACGCAGACATGTGCACTATATCACAGAGATGGGCTTTTTACCTTGCATGAGTTGGTCGAATGGACAAATCAATGATTATCGTAGTAGTGTGTGTGTAAGGACGATCTGGTGGACGGCAGAGGACGAAAAGATAATTGCCATCCACGGCCCAGGAAGGGGAACGGCCCCCGCCGCCGCCGCCTGTCCTAGTCGCTTCATCGTTGACTGGGTTGTGGATTGGCGATAGAACCCCTCAGAAGTAGGACACAGGGGTTTACCCAGAATCCCTTCTTGGTGGAGAGGAATTTGGGTCATTTGGGTAGTGTGCCCGGTCGGTGGGATTGCCCCCTCCTCGCATGCGTCACCCAGGAAGGGAACGAGAATCCCGCCGCCGCAGTGGCTGCCGAAGGGGAACAAGGAAACTGTGAAGGAGAAAGGCGATGGATTTCCGTGGTGTAATCCTTCTCCTCCTCGTCTTCGTGGGGTACCCGTGGGTTTCGGTGCCTTCCGCGGCGGTGAGGACAAGCGGAGAGGACTACGTGCGGCCGCCGCCACGGGCCACCCTGAACTTGCCCTCGAGGAGGACGAAGCAATCTTCTGATCCGCAGCAAGTAATGGTCCCCCCGCGTCTCAGCTCGCTGATATTATTGGTTTCACCCATGCAGATCTATGATTGCTGCTCAGTTCGCTGCTCTTCCTATAAGCTCATCTATTTTCAGAATAATTCTGTTTTGCGGTGGGTTTGGACTTAAATCTACCGGTTGGCTGATGCAGCCGGAGTGTCTGAAATCGACGGAGAAGCTTTATATAGATGACCTCTATGGATGATTATCCACATCTTTGTCACCATTCTTCCTCCTCATCTTGTTCCTTTCCTGTAATCAGTCCACCCGACGTCTCGTTCTTTGTACTGTTGAGAAATCATTGGGTCTCAATCCAAGTGCTGGCACTGTAGTCGCTTTAAACGTTGGCTCTTCGATCAAACGTGAAACATGAAATCGTCCTCGTGTTCCTTGCGAACTCCATGACCCCACCGTTCCAAAATTATTTCAGTTTCTTTCCTTTCTGTGCTGTTGGACAGGTGGCTTAAAAATTGAAAGAGGGTTTCGATTATTTGATTCTTCCTTCAGGAAAATGCGAAAACTTCAGGAAAACTCCCTGTCTTTCTCTGATGTGATGCCTGGAGTGATCTTGCACTGTCGATTACTTTACTAGTTTTATATTTCTGTTTCCTTGTAGGACTCCAGCAATGCCCACAAGCTATCTTCCCTTTTTTATCTCACGATTTACTTGTCGTTGATTGGGCAAACCGTGGAGCAATGCTTTCCGCATCCAATCAAGCACCTTTCTATCCTGCTGAGGATGAATTTGTTGACTGTTCTACCTCAAGTATAGGAGACCTCTCTGTTTGACATTTGAGACTCCATCGTTTAGAAGGAAATCACTCTTGGAACTCCAGGTGATGTATTTGGGATCCAAAGTGGTAGTTTAAGAAGAAATCACTCAAGAAAGGTGGTAATTTAAAAGAAATCTTTTTCTAGGTCTTCACAGGCATCATTTTATTTTATTAAGGAAGATGAGCTGGTGAATGAAAGACTGGAAACCGAATCTACTTGAATTTCGACGGATGCCTTTTTCTTTCTTCTCATTTTGGGTTGCTGCGTACACACCTTGGTCCAAATTTATCAAGTGCCAGAAGATTTACGACATTTAGCCTTTCTTTTAAGGAGATCAGTGTTATTAAAGCAAGTTTTATAGACATATATGTCTGCAAAGATTCTATTCACTATTTTTTCAATGAGTTGTGCCATCAATCACTTTTTACGATGTTTCAAAGTCCCTTGTACACTTATTGTTAGAGTACTTGTCAAATCAAACCAAGGAATATCAGAATGAAGAATCTGATGAGAGTTTGATCAAGAAGACGAGTTCCCAGAGTGATTGTCGGTTACATTCTATCGTTTTAGCAAAATGTTATTAATGTGTTGATGATGTCAGTCTGCATAATCCACCAGAGTATGATAGTTTTTGAGAACCACTTGTCTGAAAATTATTTTTAAACATTCTCCAAGAATAACGTTAGGACCACCACTAATTTTTCCTTTTTGCTCTGATTTCAACAAAGTTCAAATTGTAATAAAAGATTGCTTTCAATTCATATCTATTAGGATACTACAGTCCTAATTTAGAACTATGACTAAGGTGTCTAAATACTCTCATTACATTACTTAAATAAAAATCCTTAGGACAATTTGACGAACGAGCACATAAAAATTAATAAAGATCAAGGCTTCTTTTTGCAGACAATAGTGATATTAGTTTATTATTTTTCATATATAATGAAAATTTAGATAGAGGGGGCGGTCGTTCTCTGTTGGCGTGTTTAATGCTGATCCTGACGTACAAAGTGATGATTCTATGCTAAAATTTGTCCCACTCTGACTCATAGATTCTTCTTCATGTTACTAATTCTGATCATAACCACATGAATTTAAAGAAACTGGAGAAAATATAGCAGTAATTTGAAGCTATTGATGAAATTATGGGGCATGGTTTCATGGATATTTAGAAAACAATTTTTTGATGAGGTTTCACTTTCTTCATTTTCTGGTGAGCTATGGTCCATCGATTCTTATTTCCTGTCATATAATTCCTTAATGTAGTCCTTGCATACTCTATGGCAATCACTAGTAACTTATTCAAAATGTGAATTACAAGTAACCTTTTAAAAATATTTTAGACAATTTGGTGTTCTAAATTATTTTAAATCGAAAAAGAAATCAGAGATGCAGTTGAGGATATGGAAGCACATACAAGGTTGCCGTGGTATTTGGAATTAGAAACACGAAGAGTGGCCTTTTCACAGTTAGAGAGCTTTTCATATGGGTTTACCTTATCAGAGGTATGATTCAAGCCGCTAAATCCCAGGTACTTTAAATTGATGGGTATTGGTCTGACATGTGTGACACAAATGCTATGTTCCTTTAAATGTTTAAGGTCAGATAAACATGGGTGATCTTTGGTCGTTGAATTTTGTGGGACTTCTAAAGCTGGGTGGTCCTCTTCATTAAGGATATATTTTTTATATTTTATCATAAAAAAATCATCTGCAAAAATTACAAGGCATGACACGTATATGAATATTAACGTGATTATGATGTGGACTTGCCAAACAAGAGGTTACATAAAATAGATAAAATACCATACATTCACTGAATAGTGAAAATCAAATTGATCAGTTCCGTTGAAGTACAAGACATTATTTAATAAAAACATAGTCCATCTCTTTCATTGATTGTCACCATAGTCAAATCAATCAGTTCATATGTGAATTTGTTAAGTCATGTTGAAGTCTCTGTGTGTGGATATTCAGATGTAGATGCATGTGTGGATTTATATATATACTCATTAACATGACAGTGATGGAGGCGCACCAAAAAAACATGGTAGAAAGGTCTCTGTAAGTCCTGAACGTGAAGTGTATGTTGAGTATTATGACGCTATAGGTAAAGTATGAGACAGTGATATTTCTCTGGTTGGAGCAGGAAATATCTTGGCTCATTGAACTGGATGGCTTCGAGGCGCTGGATTTTGTACCTTTAGGTGATCCGTATATCTGGGATCCATTTATTCTATCCGATTGCACAGCCCATGGCTTTCAAGATTGCGTCAAAGTCAGATGAATGTAAATCTATGCTGGGCATATTCCTCGTGAATTGTAGATTTTGACAAAGTCTCCATGTATTCCATAGTTTTCGTGAGGTGCTAGTTTATGTCAACCGACTAGAGGGTAACCCTAATTACTTTCAAGTTGTAATTTCAGAGACAGAAATGGAAAATCTAATGGAAATTCTTATGTTGTCCTCTGCAGAAACGAGAAGCCGAATTAGTTGTTTCATAAAAGAAGAACATTCTTCTTGATCTTATGCATCAATCATTTCTATAGCGGCCTTCGGTTCTGGTCTCGGTTCAATCATTTTCCCAAAAGTCTCGGTTCAATCTGATGCATCAATCATTTAATTTAAGATCCTTATTGAAAATCTGATGGAATTGATTAGAACTCAACAACAATGTCCGCAGAGAGATTTTTGTTTTGAAGGCAACCCATAAGTCACGTCCACTGGTGAGGTCCTCGAGGGATCAAGGCAGTCACCATCGTAAGGAATATTTTTATAGAAATAAATGGATCTTCTGGAGTAGACAATAATGATGTCATGTTTCGTTATGCATACCTGGTATAATTTTACAAGTCTTTTCAAGAGTTTCTAGAAATAAAAAAAGAGAGGATATTTCTGGATATTTAAGAGTCACTATGGATTATTCTCTTAGCCCAAATGTTTTCTTGAGTTTTCTCAGGCTTTATTTTCCATCTAACCACATGCCAGCAGCATCACCGTTGACTTTACCTCGACGACGTTGATCTCGCAGGTTCACATCTCATTGGCTGGGGGGAAGCACATGAGGATCACCTGGGTCACCTCCAGCGAAGCTTCTCCTTCAGTGGTTGACTATGGGAAGCTGCGTGGCAAGTACACATCAACTTCTATGGGAGAAAGCACGTCGTATACATTTTTATTCTACAAATCGGGAAAGATCCACAATGTTGTCATTGGGCCCCTCGAAGATGATACCGTTTACTATTATCGTTGCGGAGGGGAAGGCCCGGAGTTTCATCTGAAGACCCCACCTGCCCAGTTTCCAATCACCTTCACTGTAGCTGGAGATCTTGGGCAGACTGGCTGGACTTCCTCGACCCTGGATCACATGGACCACTGTGACTATGATATTCATCTGCTACCAGGCGATCTATCATATGCCGACTACCAGCAGCATCTCTGGGACTCATTCGGGGATCTAATACAGCCACTTGCCAGTGCGAGGCCATGGATGGTCACCGAGGGCAACCACGAGAAGGAGCTCTTACCACTGTTCAGCTCTGAATTCCGGTCTTTTAATGCAAGATGGAAGATGCCCTTTGAAGAGAGTGGATCGCCGTCAAATCTCTTCTACTCATTCAACGTTGCAGGGGCGCATATAGTCATGCTCGGTTCTTATACAGACTATGATCAGTACTCTGACCAGCATAACTGGCTCAAGGTCGGTGATTTCCATTTATATCCCTTCCCTTATTTGGATTTTCTATGCTTGAAAAAGTAGCATGGCTGATTGTTTCATTCCACTTCTGGCATGTAAGGAGCCTGAAAACAAGGGAGAAATAGAAAAAAAAGCACTGACTGTACCTTCTCTCTCTGCTTTCTCGAACCCATCAGCTATAAAATGAGATAATAACTTGGTTGGTCTTCTGCTTGAAGAAATAGGATGAGTGATTGTTTCATTCCACTTCTGTCATGTAAGGAGCCTGAAAACAGGGGAGAAATAGAAAAGAAGCACAGACTATACCTTCTCTCTCTAATTTATTGAACCCATCAGCTGTAAAATGAGATAATAACTTTGTTGATTTTCTGCTTGAAAAAATAGGATGAGTGATTGTTTCATTCCAGTTTTGTCTCATAAGCAGAACCTGAAAAATGGACTGTATGTATCTTCTCTTAGTTGCCAAATTAGTTAATACCTCGTTTACACCCGTACTTTGTTTACTTTGATTTTTGTTGCTGAAAATGGGATCAGCAGTATAAAATTTTATTCCACATCTGGCTGAGAAAAGGGAAGTGAAAGCAGTGATTGTACCTTCTTTGGTTTTATAATTAGATAATAACCCATTTGCATGCACTCTTTCGGATGGGAGTTTGACTCCGTTCTCGTCTCTATCTAGGCTGACCTTGCCGAGGTTGACCGGACAAAAACGCCGTGGCTCTTGGTGCTCTTCCATGTCCCCTGGTACAACAGCAACCGGGCCCACCAGGGTGAAGGGGACGACATGAGAGCTTCCCTGGAGCCATTGCTTTATGCGGCTGGGACGGATCTTATCCTCACAGGGCATGTCCATGCCTATGAACGGACAGTAAGCCAGAGGAAGCCTTCATCTTCTTCTACTTTCCTCACCTACTTTCTTCCATCGAACTCGTCAAACTTTGATCTTCTTCACCTCCAGGAGCGCGTTGCTGGTGGAAGGCTGGACCCTTGTGGAGCTCTTCACATAACCATTGGAGATGGAGGGAACAGAGAAGGCTTAGCAACCAGGTAAGCTCTCTCTCTCTCTCTCTCTCTCTCTCTCTCTCTCTCTCTCTCTCAGTCTGTCTCTCTCTATCTCTTTCTTTTTTTGAGATAAATCCATCATGGGTAATAAAGGTTTTAAATTATTATTATTATTATTTTTGGGTAATAGGTACCTTGATCCTCAACCAGACTGGTCGGCCTTCAGAGAGGCGAGCTTCGGCCATGGGGAGCTTAAGATTGTGAATGGGACCCACTCTCTGTGGACGTGGCATAGGAACGATGACGACGAGCCTGTGAGATCCGACCAGGTGTGGATAACCTCCTTGGCCAGCTCTGGCTGCCTATCTCGCCGTCCAGATAAGCTGGAATTTGGTAAGATATCGGTCGGCCCATAGATCAGTGGATCACGTTAGAAACTACCAATAAAAGGCCATCCTTGATCATTGGATTGAGCCACCGTGTAAATACCGGCATTCCTCGGGTGCCCACATGGCAGCTGACGTAAGATGCCAGGTGGATGTATATTGAGCACTATTCTTCCAATGAGACCGAAGGGAGGCTTATTATATATCATGGGACGCTTGGATATATATATATATATATATATATATATATATATAAATCAAAATAACGGTTTCAAACTCGATTAAATCTACTATTTTTGGAAAATATTAATTTACTTTAAAAAACGATTTTTTTCACACAAATCAAGAATATTGTTCTTGCTTACTGTCATGTTAGTATCAAAGGTATATATTAACATAATATGCAAAGACAGTACTTTTTTCCCTGTTAGTAGCCAGCCATTTTTGGAAAACATGAACGGATCAAGTAAAATGTTCTTGCCTACTGTCCATGTTAATATCATTTTTAATGAGATAACATACAAAGATAGTATTTTTCCGGTTGGGTATGCTCCATAGTAGCCAGCTATTTCTGTAAAACATGAACATAAAAAAAAAACCGGAAATTACACGGTGAGATTTTTATCACCAGATCAAGAAGAGTGTTCTTGCCTAGTATTATGTTAATATCAATAACATCTCCCCGCCCAGAAAAACAAAGAATTATGAGAAAATAAGCTCCCTTCGTTTCTCTCTCAACAGCAGGCTTGAATCTTCAGGCCTGATCCTGGGGTTCTTGGTGATCCACAGAGCTCTGCTTCTGCCTCCCTCGCCAAATCACAATCTGGCCTTTCTTAAATAGAATAGGCACGCAAGGCACCAAGTCCTGAGGAAACGAAACCAAATGGGGAAAGATGTGTCGATAACATGGTAAAGATATCAATAATATGATATCAGAAAAAAAATTAAATATTTAACATTGGGAAAAGATCATCATCTACAGGTTTTTGTGCACAAAATAGCTGAGATCCTTCAGGGCTTGATCCTGGCATCGCCCTGGTCCAACCCAAGAAAGAACAGGATAGGGCCAAACATTCTAAAAATAATCAACATATAATGAATGGTTTCCAGCATAGTTTCAAAATGGGTCGACCAAATAGCATGTATATTTTTGATAAAGATTCTCGAGTCCTAGATTAATGAACAGATTAGTTAATGAGATCATAACAGAGAGTTCTGTCTTTCTGTAGACCTGGACATTCATATTTAGGATTTCATACATTTTATATATATATGAAACTCTCATTCACTGGGAAAGATCAAAAGGGTCCTTCACGAAAAGCATTTTACCCGCAGCTTAACTCCAATCTTCTTGGAGTCACTGGTCTCCACAGAGCTGCAGTCTAATCTGACCACCTCTTCAGTTTTGAAGGCCTCCCTGACCTTTTCCACCACACTGACGTACACTCCATTCCTAGCTGGACATTTTTGGGGGAAAATTCATTAGATTCGTTACCAGAAAGCTCAAAGACATGGCCGACATGAACTTTACTATAAAAATCATAATTATTATTCTAATAATCATTGTATAGCATAAAAGGTTCTCAGCCTTAAGCTAAATATTATATATTTTCAGCAGTTAACATCATGGAAATGAAAAAAAAAAGAAGAAGGAATGCAGATGTATCTAAACTAAGATTATGTCACAAACGCCCGTTGATGAAATAACTACTTGGTGACTCTTTGCCATAATTTATTTATTTTTTAATAGCATGAAAGCAAAAAGGGACTGCAGAGAATCTAATTGTAATTTTTAATCATATTTTAGTTTGACAAGTTTCCGGCAGATCATCTTTGATTCGGTGACTGATCAGTGAGGTAATGATTTCAAGATCAAGGAAAAAGAATTATAGAATCCATTTTTGTATGTGAAAGTGTCATCTTAGATGGGTCGGTCATGGCGGAGCAGGCAAGAACAAGAGTAGGAAGATTACTCAATGTCATCAAAGCAGGAGAATTGAGGCCTCTGCTCCTCATCTCCTTCGTCTCCTCAAAGGTGAGGCCCTCGGCGGCGTTCTTCACCAGCCTCGGGTAAATCGGAGCACGAGGTTTCCACAGCATCAATGGCACTACGGGCCTCCTTCTGGGGTCATAATTCCTGCCCCGGTACAGAAGGAGGATGTTGATTCTCCGGTAGATTATCTTCCCCCCGGTTTTGTCCTGCGAATGAGTCTCCCGAACCATTTCAGCAAGTTTGAAGACATGGAACCTGGATCATTGAAGATCTCTGCAACTCGATCCTGGCACCTCGAGGTGGAAGCAGACGTTGTCCATGTCCAGCGTCGGCGCGCCGAGGCACTTGATCCTCACAGCTTCGGCCCTCTTCCAGTGGTTGTGGATATCATCCAGCAGGTTGTGAGTCACTCCTCCCTTTCCTGAAATCGCAGGAAGGAAGAAGAGAGGGAGGCGTCAGAAGAGGAGGAACCCACGGGAAAAGGAGGAAGACGATGAGGACGAAGATCCTGACCTAAATTGATCTGGCGAGAGCAGTCGCTGTGCCTGTACCTCTCCACGAGCTCTTCGATCTCCGACTCGGTGAGCGGCGCACCGAGCACCGCCGCTCGCTCCGCCGCCGGCTTCTCCTCCGCCGGCGCCGGCGCTGAAACCCCGTTCCAGGTCCGATCGAGCCGGCCGGGGCCGAAGGGGGAGAACCTCGGCGGTTCCCGGAACCCTAGCGGCCGGAGGCAGGGGTCCGTCTCAGAGTAGGAGTATCGGAAGTCGAAGGGGAGATCAGAGTGGACGGGGAAACGATCGCCGCCGGTATGCCTCGGCTTGGTAGAGGTGGTGGTGGCGGTGGCGCTCGGCTTGGTTCTTCGCTTGATCCTCGCCGGCGGGGGCTTCTCCGGGACGGAGGAGAAGGGAGGATCGTGGGAGTCGCTAGAGGTGAGTATGGAGTGAAGTCGACACGCCCAAGCAGCTCCGGTTACTCGCCATGGGAGGACGCAGAGAAGCCCCGGCGACGCCGCCGCCTTCCGCTGCATCCGCAGGCAGCGGAACGGGGAGGGGGGAGAAGAAGGAAGCCAATCCCTCGCCGGCGGTGGGGGGATTTGAAAAGTGGCATCTCACCTAAGCCCATTAAGGCGTTCATTTGTTGGTCGTCACTCTCTTCTTCTTCTTTCCGCACAAGCCTCGGCTGCCATGGCGGAGGAGGGCGAGCTGGGAAGGCACGCCGGAGACGGGGTGGGGGCTCGGTTGCAGGGAGAAGGCCGGCATGGTGGACCTTTTGTCTCCTATGAGTTGACCCAGATGACTACAACGTGCCCATTGACCCGTTGACATCTCATGAGGTCAACGCTCTTTCCTTTCCGTCCCAACAAAGACTCGATGAAGAACCAGACATCCACTAATTATTCATTAGATTTGGTCCCCTCCTAAATGAATGGGCAAGAGGAGTTTATCATAGGATGAACGTCAACGGATTGCCTCAGCCCCAGGGGCAGACCCAGCTGACTTCAGCACCAAAATGTCTGATCTCTGGGTCAAATTCAGATGGACCAAATGGCGAATAGAAGCATCAGAGGAAGAAGATCCTCAGAACCCAAAGCACCTAGGGCTGACATTCTCCCATCGAACGATAAAGTTCTGACAAAGTCAACCAGTACAGACAACAATCATAGAGTTTGACTTAGGAAAATGGGCACAATAACAAGACTCAAAGCCGGCGCTATACCACCAGTTGACCACCTAATAATACCAGGCATAAATGGAACACGAAAAATATAATAATAAACACAAAGTGATTCCCACATGAACCAGACGGATTGCCCCAAGTGGCATACTAGAATTTCCCAAAAATGGTTATCACTCAGGCTTAGGTGGCAAGTGGTTCCCCCCGGTTGCAATCTTGAACAGATAAAATAGAGTCATGACACCGCTGCAAGAAGAAGAATAATTTGAGAAATAGCCGTCGTACTTTGGCAAAAAAAAAAAAACACAAGCAATATGAACTAAATATATGCATGCAAAGTAGTAGTACCAGTTACTATAATTGAAATCCCCCAATAAAAAAGGAAGCCATTTTCATCATATGAACTAAATAATAAGCTGACTCTGATGGAAATCCCCCCATGAAATCAATCCTTTGGATTATGCTGCTTTTAGCTGGAAGCATTATAATAAAAAGTTAAAAAAAAAAAAACAGACATTATCAAAATACCTGAGGGCAGCAACTAGTCCAGCCGGCATTATCTTGTGTGTATGGATGTATCGTTGACCCATGATGTATGTCAACGATGCAGCGCAAACTGTTCCATGATAGACCATGAAATCACAATAAGCCAAAGAATCTCTTACTGTGACTAGACATCCATCCATTCATTTCCAGAGCTATTTCTAGTAACGAAAAGTATGTAAATTGTGAAGCACGCATATAGAACAAATCAAAGATAGTAATGAAGTAAGGATTTGAAAAAACCAATGAGAAGATCGTCAGAACCCCATGAATTCTTTATCTTTCAGAAAATAGATTTGGCGGTGCTTCAAATCCAGTCATGGCCAGCATCCCCTTGCCCTCCCTGTTCGTCAACAATCAGATACTGGTGGTGAGGAATGGTTGGGGATGAACTGAAGTGATGCTGCCTCATCTTCCGCCTCTTGAGAAGATTACAATCTTCCATCAATATAAATCATCGCAAAATATGTTACTAATATTCGACTCGATAGCAATATTTCTAGGTCTCCCCAAGATCTCTTCTGTTCCGATCTGCTCAATTGGTACTTAGATCCGAGATGGCACTCACATTTTTTTTTTACGGTGTGTTCATGCTTTTTTTTGCAGGATCTTCCGATCTACAGGATGTTTGCACCAGAAATTTGACCTAAGAACGATGAAAGACGTAGCAACGGCGGAAATAGGGGAAATCGATCCGTAAAATGCTGGAATCAGCGGAGAAATCGCCACAGGATATGAAATCAATAAACCAGAGCGCCCGGCGATGGAGACGACGCACGAAACGGAGGAATCCGGTCGCCCTTACCAGTCTCGAGCCCGATGGCTAGGTACGAGTTGCGACGCTTCCCAAAGGCTTTGAGGCTGAGGAAGCCGGCGAGAATCAGGGCGAAGCCGGCGCCGCCACCGCCGGCGAGGGAGGCCGTGCTCCCCTTCGCGGCGAATCCTACGATCCCGCCTGCCAGGACCAGCAGCCCGTAGGGGATCGTGAAGCAGAAGTCGTGCATGTTGCTCCCGTCGACGGCGGCGAGAGATCTCAGCGACGGAGACGGAGAGGAAGGACGCTCTACCCTTCCCTCTCCGACTCTGGAGGAGAAAGCGGGGGAAGTGGTTGAAGGATCGGTCAAAGAAGAAACCCTTGACTTGGACACTATTTAAAATAAGTTTGAGGGAATCCTGTGGGCGATAATCGCCCCAAGGAGACCCGATCGAAAAGTCAACTCAAAATTTGCAGAGTTACCAGCATCTATCTTTTGCCGAAAATTTTCGGGAGATGGCTGCCTTCCGTTGACTTGTGAGATTCTCTCCTGAGGAGAACCGATCGAATAGCCATTTTATTACCCAATGGACATTTCCCACACTTAAATCTCCCGAAAGATCAAAACTTGCAGACTTCCCACTGCGGCGACGGTCACCGTTCGTTGACTGTTGAGATCTCTCTCTTCGTTGACGTCACACGATGTCCTACATATCTGGCGTCGCTCCCTCCAGCCGCCGCATTCTTAATTACCCAGCGAACAACATTTCCCACATACTCAAAACTCCCAAAAAAGATCAAAACTTGCAGAGTTACCAGCATCTATCTTCCGTTGACTTTTGGGGAACCCCCTCCGTGGACGTCACACGATGTCGGAAAACATTGAGCGATAAGTGGATATTTTCCAAAATAAAATAGCTCCTACCCATAAATATTGTCATTTCCGTTTATTTTTCATTTTCAGTGATCGTGAACTGAAATTCACATGTGGATAAAGTAAGAACAACAGCTCAATCATCTGATTCCGAATATTATTAATATTCTCGGAGGGGCGGGGGGTAGGAAGTAAGAACTGTAATGATTTCTACTTCCTTTTGCTTCGATTTCTGCTCGATCCGGAGTTCTATCACTCAGACAGTGACTGAGTTCCTCCTCTGCCATCTGAATTCTGCGATTTTTTCAAGGCAATCTACGTCTGAAAGATGGTACCCGAATGGAAACTCTCCTGAAGAAATGAAGAACTGGATTAAGCAGGGAAGACCAAGGGAAGAACAAGAGCCCAAGTGAGATCTCAGATGGGGGGTATGTTCAACAGATTAATGGGTCAAAAACTATGATCGTAAAGTCCCAATTTTCACAGTTCAGAAGACCTTCTGAATAGGAGAATTATCAAGTATCACCAAGAACATGATAAATTTCCACTAGTTAACTCAAATGCCGTTCTATGTTCCAGCTGAATCACAACATCTACGCAGAAAGGGAATCGCCCTTCTCAGCTCTATGCGTTGACTTTCCCATTGCGGGGTGCAACGAAAAAAAAAGGAAAATTATTGAACCATCCGAAGAAATTCTTCGTCATGCTTCACAAGAATCAAAGAATATGGGAGAAAACACGTAGATATTTCAAGGAGAAAGGAGGAGAGATGATCTAAGGACGTTTTTTGACACAAAAAAGGAATGCCCTGCTGGGTAGAATTATGACATCAGCGGACAACCCCAAGTAAACAAGAAAATGGAAAAGACATTTTTTTTTCTAAAAAACCTTCGATAAATTTATACAATGAAACCCACAAGAATCACGAGGAAAAAAAACTCAGAGAGCTCAGGAGCGAAGGAAAACGAACAGCCTACGAGCTTTGAGAAAGCTACTACGCCAAAATTTCCATTCAGAACGAGAGAAACTCCACAGTGAAGAAGAAATTGCAGAGAAACCCGAACCAATCCAACGCGCTCACCGTTCAGAACTCGGTCGCTTTGGAGCCGTCGCCAGATTTGGGGAAATCCAGCCGGAGGCTGAGACTGGCAGTGACGGCGCGGAATCTGAGCCGTATCGCCTCTAGGGCATCCTGGGTGGACTCGTTCTCCGGATCCAGCATCGGGTAGCCCTCCACCAGCTCTCCGATCTGCCTGATTCCTCTCCGAACGCGAACTGTGAACGCCGATGGATCAATCCCGATCGCCGCCTCCCAGATGTGGACGCAGCCGCGGTAGAACCCTAATTCCTCGCCGATGGCGAACCCGTGCTTTATCCCGAGCTGCTCCGCCTCTTCTCTGCCGGCGGCCACCCCGTCGTCGAAGCCCTGCCGGTAGCCCTCCTCCTTGTGAGCCTCTTCCAGTGACAGCGTCGACCCGAAGATGTCGCCCAGCTCGTCGCCGTCGCCGCCGCGGCCGCCGCTAATCTCCATGTCCGGGGAAGCCGGGGGAGGAAAAGAAATTTTTTGTCAGGAGAAGAAAAAAAAGAAGAAGACTATTTTAAAGTAATTAAATCACCTTTTTTTATATAAAAAAGTGCTAAAATAATCTACGCAATGAAAACTAATAATTCACTAAATAGGGTAATATTTTTTTAAAATGATATAAATATGATTATAATATAATATTATGAAAAAGCAGGCAGTGGCCGGGCATTACAAGCTTCATGGATCATGAAGAAAGGGTAGCGAGAATGCGAGAAAAAGAGAGGAATATTTAGTTAATTTACAGAATCACTGGTGGCGAAAAAAATGGGACTTTTGCCCGCCCCTTTCGATGGAACAATCCGGATTGGAAATGATCTCCTCCGAGTTTGATCTGGCCGAGGAAAAATCAAAATAATGATGGAGCTTCGCTGATGTCTCATCATGGAGTTTGGTCTGGGTCCGGGCGGAGAAGTTGCCGCTGGGCGGGCTTCTTCAGGAGCTGCTTCTCCTTCATCCTCTCCCTCCTGAAACTCTGGAAATCGCTGAGGAGGCCCCCGTTGACGTCGTCCTTCATCTTCTGCAGCAGTCTTCTCAGCACCTGCAGCGAAATCGAATTGATCGGAGGAAGAAGGAGAAAAATCAGAGGTTGCAGAAGGGGGGAAGATTGATCGACGGAGGAGGAGGAGGAGAAGGAGAAGTTACCGAGTCGGCGACGCCTCTGAGGACCTGCTCCGGGACCAGAGAAAGCACCGGCGGGAGGACGAAGGAGATGCTCATCTGCAGGCGGCCCCTCAGGCGGCTCCGTCGGCCGCCGGCGGCGGCGGCGGCGGCACCACCTTCCCCTCGATCGGGATATAGCAGGCCCCGCACATCAAGCCCGAAGTGGCGCGGAGAGTGCGCCATGTCGAGACCTCGGAGCTCCCACCTGGTCTGCGGGGGATGGGAGAGGAGTTACAGAGCCGTCGGTTCTTCCACCGCCGCCTGGATCGCCGAGGAAAAGGGAGTGAACTCACCACTCGGAGGTCGAGGGCGCGGGTGATGTGGGGCGGAACCTCCAGCGGGTGGTCCTCGCCGTGGGAGCAGCAGCGCAGACGCATTACGACGACGGGGTTGACGGAGGCGAACAGAAACTCTATCGGCAGCATCTGTACCTTCCACTCCTCCTTCATTGGACGAACATGTTAGGGTTTTCGATCGGGGAAAAGGATGAAGAGGAATGTTAGAGTTTCGATTGGGGGAAGAAAAGGAGGAGGAGAGGAAGGGGGAGGATCACCTCGTTCAGTTGCCGGCTGCGGCGGCGATCGGGAAACATGGCGCGGAATATCCGCGGCCGGTCGTCGAGGTACTCGTCGAAGGAGGCCTGAACCAGATGCGGAGACTCTCTGAGAGGAGAGAAAGAGATAGAGATAGAGATAGATAGATTGAGAGAGAGAGAGAGGATCACCTCTGGAGTGTCGTAGAGGGGAAGATCTGTGGAGATGCTGGCGGAGAAGGTCTTCGCCTCCGGAGGGAGAGGATCCCTGCCGGTGCCCGGCGGCGAAGCGGCGGCGCCGCCGGTCGCCGCCACCGCGCTCGCAATGCCACGGGGGGGATGGCGGAGGCCTTTCCCATCATCTGCCATGGCCACCACCACCGCCGCCGCCGACGACCGGCGGCCCCACCGCTTCTCCTTCCATTCGGTCCCTCCACCATTTCCGCCATTTCCGCCGCAGAGAATCGCGGCGGATAATGAAGAATTCGACGCGATCGATCCCCCGCCGCCTCTCACGGGGCCGAGAGAGCGGAGAAGAGTGAAGCAGAACTGCCGCGCGCAGCCGCGTTGACTGTGGCCGATTCCCCCCGCTCTCCCCGGAGACACCGCCATAGCCATCGACCTTCAACCTTCCTTCCCTCTCTCTCTCTCGCTTCTCTCTCTCTTCTCACTCTGGGTTATGGATGTCGAGTCGACACGTGGACAGGGACATGTGGTGCCGTGACGCTGCGTGAAAGGACCAATGGGGAGCTCGCTGGATGCGCCACGTCAACAGGCCGGATCAGGTTACCCTGCTGGCACTAGGCCCGTTGAGCCCATTAGGCCTATCAACGACACACGGGGGCTCCCGAGATGGTTTTGAGGCCGAATTCTTAGCTGCTGACATGGATCGGTAAGAGCACAACACCTGTTCTGAAACGCATTTGTTTTAAACACCTTTTATGTATACATATTACCTAAAAGTCCCCAAAAACTAACGCCCCCCCCCTCCTCTCTGTCTCTCTCCCAAAACGATTGGGTTGATGGACAATTAATATTTCCAAGCAGGGATTTCTGCTAATTCTGGTTTTCTCTCTTGATCGAATTCTTCGCTGCCGACGTGGATAGGTAAGAACACAACACCAGTGTTGTAAACCATTGAACTCGCTTTAAACCCCTTTTATATATACATATTGCCTGAAAGTCCCCATGAACTACCCCCCCATCTCTCTCGCTAAACCATTGGGTCGAGGGGCAATTAATATTTTCAAGCAGGGGTTTCTGCTAATTTGAGGTCTCTGGTATAATTATTATGGGGATTGGTCATCACCTGAGAAGGTCGTCTTCTTCTTCCTCCTGGGGAGGGAGCGGGAAGGGCTCAGACGTCCTCCTGGTCCTCCAGAGAGCGCTTCCGAGCGCGGAGATTGAGCTGAAGGTTCTCCGGCAATGGCGGCGTTCTCCCCCGGCGGAAGAGGACGGCGAGGGCCTTCATCTTCTGGCAAATGTCGAAGACCTGGACGAGGAGAGCAGCTCGTAAGCAATCGACATGGATGACTGGAAAGGATTCGGCAATCGTCCCCTCCTCACCGACGACGCTTCGAGCTCCGCAATGCCTTCGCAGCCCTGGCCTCCCCCCTGAAGCAGATCGCAGTATTTCGCGGCATCTTGCTCGTCTTCGAAAACCTGAAACAAGGCCAGATCTGGCGATGTGAACTTCCATCGGAGGATTCTGATCGCATCCAGGATTTCTGATGAAGATCTATTCCACCATGGAGTCCTGTCTGAGATGTTTACTTACAAGGACTCCTTCCCTGATATCTTCTACGAGCATTCGGAACTTGAACCCGGTACTGGAGCTCTTCGACTTGTTTCCTACGTCAGATTGCCTCTTTCCTCTAGAAAACAGGAGACCGAGCTCCCTTTCCACTTCACTGCGCACCCGAAAATGGTCAGTCGGTCTGCAAGCTTTCCGCTGTATCGAAGGGATTGGAGGAAAAGAGAACCAGGACAGACCTACGATTCATCCTCGTTTTCATCGTCCATATCTGGTTTTCTCTTTGAGTGAGAACATAGACAGGTTTTGGATTTCCTCGCCATGGATTTGAATCTAACACTGAAAGAAGAGGAAAAGGAAAAGCATAGTGAAAACAATTTTGACATGTCGAGCATCAACAATCACAAGGCACATAGTATTCAGACTCCAGAAATTTGGCAACAAAATCAGAGAACAGTGGCCGATCTGCTGCCCAAAAGGCATTACTCATCGGAGATCCAAGCAAGTTTCCGTGTGATGAGCCTGCTTTCTCACGCACAGGTCGGGAGAATCCGCCGCGTAGGATTGATGACCCTCTTCTAAGAACATCAAGAATAAATTCTACCAGTGAGCAAGTGAAATGGAATCATGTTGGAGCTTCTTTCTGATTGGTTATCGAAGATCACCCTAATGTTTCAGCAGACATGCACATCTCATGGAGTCTTCGAGATCAACAGAGATCCAGTCACTTGTAGAGCGGAGTTGCAGGTTTCATCATTGGACTTGAGAAAAAAAAATATATGGCAGATTGGAAAGCGATCCTTCAACCACACGAAAGGAGTATCATCCGGGAATTCGTCGAAGGAGAGAAGGGAACGGAGCAGTTTACCGTCGTAACTGATCGAGTCTAGGGTTTGCTGCAGGTCCCGTCGCATGCCGTAGGCACGGGATGATACCCGCCGCAGGAACTCCCCGGATGTCCTCGGGATTCCTCCGTCCATGCCGAGAGCCCTCTCCACATCATCGACCTCATCACTACTCTGCTTCGCGCTCTCCCTCTCCGATGTTTCGTCCCCGCCATCAGCGCCGCCGATGGAGGCACAAGGAGGCCCCCTACCCCGCCGCCATCTCCCCTCGCTGTTGCTGCTGCAGGCAGAGAGGAACAGAGGGACCCCGAAGGAGGAGCAGAAGGTAGCCGCCGCCGCAGATCGACGGCCTCGACCGGAACAGTACACACGGCCGCCGTTCCCCGCAGGACGGAGGAAGGGGAGAGCAGCAGCGGTGGAGGTGGACACGGAAGGCGCGAGAGCATCCATCGTCACCGGTAACCTTGCCCTTCCCCCCAGCAAACCTTCCATATGCCTGCGATCCTTCTAAACACCCTCTGATGCTAGCCACTACGAACCAGAAAACAAGATTTCCTCTCCCTCTCTCTGGGATCCAGAAAGGAAGAGGAAGAAGCGAGGGGGGCTGCGGAGGAGTAAGGAGAGGCGGAAGCGATGCGAACTCCAACAAGCAACGACGATGACGACCACTCTGGTGTAGACTATGAGAGAGGAAAAGATCGTCTACGACCCGCCTCTGCCCTCTCTCCCTCTCTCTCCGATATTTCCTGGGGAGGACAACTCAGACCGGGAACGTAGACTGGAGAGCGTGAAGGTGGGGTCCACAGACCGGCTGGATTAATGCAGGTTAGCCAAAATCATTCCCCACTGTTTTACTGAGTACGGGTAACCCCTTCATCCCCTGTTTACTGCATCTTTTGCTTCCTCCCCCCATCTCTCTCTCTCTCTCTCTCGCTGAGGGTAGCCCGACTTTTGAGTTTTTGAGAAACCCCAAGAAAAGTAATATAATATTTTATTGTGTCAAATTTATTTTGACATTCTATATCACAAGCTTTATTAATTAATATGGTGAATTTTAGTGGAGTTAGTAGCTCATCCTTTCATATTGATGGCATGTAAACCAGATGACGGACTACATTAGAATAAAGGGGTTATTGAGACAGTTTTGTTTCATAGCTAATTTTGTTACGAATATGAAATTTCAAATCATGTTTTCATGATACTAAAACTTTAATGTGATTTTGAAAAATCTCATTGGCCTAGATTTATGTCAAAGATGTTTCTTTTAGAGTGATAAATTGGCTCATTCTGGGTAGAAAATTGCTTTACATACAATATGATTTTTTTCCAACTCATATGATGATCACAATTTGATTAGTAAGATTTATGTCAAAGATATTTCTTTTGGTGTTATGAATGAAGATTTGTGTATTAGCTCTAGAAATCTTGGAATCCAAAATTTATGAGAATAATAGGAAAGTTTACACTTCTTTGAGACTACAAGCCAAACATATGCATAATGGATCATTTTCATTTCAAATGAAATATATCAATGAAATTTAGCAAAATTAACATGACTTTTATAATAGTTAAAAGAACTACAAAGGATTACAAGTAAGAAATCAGTTATATAAAAATGAAACTTAGTTGCCATACTTATTATTTATTTATTGCATAACGTTCATTTTGAAATTTTATGTCTAAAAAATGTGAATCCACAAAAACGAGGACCACTTGCACCCACTTTTGAAGGCAAGTACCTAGAATAGATTTTATTTTGCATAAATCTTATATACCAAATCTAAGACTGATTCCTTTTTCTCTAATCTTTCATGCCTTACTCTTTAATTCTGTTCCTTTTCTTTTTTTCATATCAATGTCATTGATTAGGTAAAAGTTATGCTATTTATCCTATAAAAAATTATATAAAGTCAGAACACCATTTTATTATAAATATTGACTTCAATTTCATTGATACTATGAACCAATTTCTTGATGTTTTTACCAATTATTTTATAAAAATTATCTAATTTCACATGGAGTGAAATAAGAATGCATGCAAACATTGACTTACATCATTAGTTAATGATTTTGCCTTATTTATCCTTGTGCAATGTTTAGACATATAGTTTATGTTTAATCAATTATCTAGGATAAGTATATGGCACAAGCTTTGTGCAATCATGGATTTAATTATGGATGTTTTATGAGAATGTTATTTCTAGTTCTATAATCAAATATTATATCCCAACTTTGGCAACATTGATCACCTCTCTCTTATACATTATTCTTTCAATCTCATTATATAAAAACCCCGTAGAAAATTCCTATATGATTTTGAGGCCATTTGCAAGGCTCATCATGTCTCTTTATGTTTTTTCAAGAAGAGAGTTGACTCATGAGTAGACTCTTTTAGACCAACTTTCACTTCTACCAATAAAAACACTTTTTAAAGGTAAAATGGTAATTTATTACTTGTGAAATTGTATTCTAACTCATGAATAAATTGTTTACTCATTTTATTTTTTCTATTTGAAGTTTTTTTGTATTTTCACTTCCTTTCAAGATGCGAGTGGACTTGTTAAGAACATTTAGCCCTTATAATGATCAAGTCATCACTAAGGAAGTGAGTCGATTCACCTTGTATAGAGGAGGCTCAACACTATCAATGTCCAAAGAAGTTGTTGACTTTAAGACCCCTATCTATTTCAATGATGATCATAGCAAATGAAGTAATTTTTTGATAAAGATTATTATTGTATAAATAAGAAGTTTGGTGACATAGATAATTGTATGGATTAACAAAATAATCAAGAGTAGGGTTCAAAGAATGTGAAGCAACCAAGGGCACAAAGGGGAATCCTTGATGCAATGCATTCAAATAAAAAATAGAGGAAATAAAGCCTCAAAAGCTTGGAGTGGAATTTCAAGAGTGATAACTTAGTTCTATACTTACATTTAGACTCATAATTTAGGGTAGATTAATAATAGCTAATCTTGTTTTTGAATGAAGTTATTAGTCTAAAGGAAAATGTAGGCTCTTGTCTACTTGACTCCCTAGAGATGTGGATCTATAAAAGCATAGATGTTCTCATTTGTTCTAGCCTCTTAGAACTATGAATCTATAAGAATATTTTTTTGGTAAAGTCTTAAAGTTAGTTAGTGTTATTAAATATAATGAAGATAGTTAAAATCTACAATCTAATATGTATTTCAAATAGGATTTAATGGAATGTAGACATGTAGTCTTGATAACCCTAAACTTGGGATGTTATAGTTCCTAAGTGGGGTTATACAAAACCATTTATATTTTCACTATCCTAGTCAATCTACTAAGTAGAGAGGGTAAGATAGGAGTCAAACCACAAGGAGAAAAACTAATGATCTAATGAAACTCTAAGTAATGAGAGGAAATAGGTTAGAAGATGGACGAGACAAAGAGAAATGAGAGATGAGTGGGAGATGAGGAATATGGGTGAAAAGAGATGTAACGAAGAAAACCTTAGGTTAGGGTTGACCTAGTGGGGTTGTAGAAAAGAAGTTTTGAAAATGTTTTGATGAGAAATGATGGTCAAAGTCGAAAAGAAATAATATAACTACTAAGGACCTATCTAGAACCCTAGGTTTCACCCTAGAGAAGAAGGAAAAGATACAAATAAGCAAAGGGAAAAAGATTACTCAACCTGGGCCTCTATATGTTGCCAAAGTTAGACTATTTCTTTTGGCAACCTTACCCTCAAGGTTTCTTGATAAGTTTTCATTATCATGAGTTAATAATTAATTAATAATATATTTTAAGCCTTAAATTATGACAAAAATACTTATATTTATGTTAACTTATGAAAAGTGATTTTTAGTTAGCTAATATAATTTTTTAGCTAATTATATAATTTTATATAAATTTATAATTTTTATATTCATATTTTTGAGATAAATAAAGAAAAATAAAATAAAACAAAAATATTCTAAAGGGGAGAAACCCACCGGCTAGCACAATCGGGTGAAGTTGCGAGGAAGGGGCTCCAATGGCTAAGGACCGATAAGTAGGTGACATTTGTGCATCACTCCCCTTCCACATTACTAGTGGTTAGTCGAGAGTGGGGCAAGAGTAGTCATACACGTGTGAGAGATACTTATTAATTATAGAATCTCATATTACTATATATTCATCTCATAACTTAGAAAATAACTAATGTTAGACTAAATTGCTCACAACTTTTCATAAAAGGTTTTTCATAATTTTTAATACCTAAAATACTCCTAATTTGTGAGAAAGAGATACCCTTATAATGTTATCTTATAAGGGTATCTCATATTTATTTTCACTTTCTCTCATGTAAGCGGGTGACTAGTAAGGGTTCAAATTCTATTAGAGTTAAAACTTATATTTTTTATTTGATTAGATCATAATTTTACTATAAATTATCATCAATGATTAGGTCGTTCAAATTGCTGAATTATTAGTGGAAATATTGTCAACATAATTCATGGAGCATCATTGCTAAAATTAAATGATTATAAATAAAAATATTATAAATTTATAAAGTAAATTATCTCTGATTGATTGATGAATAAGTCATCGTCGAAAAGAAGATGATCCACCAAAAGATGAGTCGTCACCTCTTGAGAGTATATCAGATGCGATGAAAAGCCTCCTTTTATCGCATAACCTTGAAGATGAAGCTCTTTAAGCCACCGAAGATCTACAAAGTCATGAATTTGAAATGTCTCAAAATTAGTTATCTCAAAAATATTTAGAATCATGAATTTACCTAATTGAAATATTAAAATAAGTGAATATTGTAGTAAGCTCGAGGTCGATCCATAGGGAATGAGAATGAGATGATAAATAACTACTATCCTATTTAATTGATATATTGAGACGAGATGAATACTAAGAAAAAGAGGTAACAGTAAATACTGTAAGAATCATAATACGAAAAAGAGAGAAACATATATTGAATGATGTAGAAGATGATGAAGAAGGGAAATAGTCATAGAAGAATCATAATGTGAAATTAAAAATCTAAATCTATTTATTTCAAACCTAAGAATATCTTAGTGATTGTTCATGCACATAACACATCAGACTTAGAAGATCTTACCTCGGGAATCCACATTTGAATCAATCCAAAAAACATCCAAATCGATGTAGAATCTTAATGTTGTTTCATTCAAGCTAACTAAATGTCAAGGCATTTGAAGTTAGATTATCTGCCCCTAAATATCGGCTTAAATGTGTAAGGGTTACATAAGGATTTGAGATTACACATGTCGGTTTGATACATGCCTTCTTGTGAGCTGGTTCATTTGAGATTATCTTATTTAGGGTTGTGAGTGAGTGAGGGTTTTTCTATATTTTTGGCCATGATAAGATAAGATAAGATAAGATTTAGTTTCCTCTAGCTAATGTGAGGTGCTAGATTTAAAAGTCTTGTTGTAGTCATATAATCTTCCTTAATGTTGAAATC